GATGATGATTGTGATTGTGATGATGCTGATGATGATGGGTGGTGGTGGTGGTGCTGATGGCAATGGTGGTAGTGATTGCGATGGTGATGGTAAATTTGATGATGACGGTGATGCCAATGATGCTGATACTGATGAGTATGATGATGCTGACGATGATGCTGATGCTGATGATGATGATGATGATGATGATGCTGATGGCTACGATGATGATGATGCTGATGATGATGATGATGTTGATAGTGATGATGATGATGACGATGACGATAATGTTGACGATGTTGATCGTGATGTTGATGAGAGTGATGCTGACGATGATATTGATGGTGATGATGATGATGATGCTGATGATGACGATGACGATGACGATGACCATGACGATGATGATGATGATGATGCTGGCGATGGTGGTGATCGTGATGATGGTGGTGGTGGTGCTGATGGTTGTGGTGGTGGTGATGCTGATGGTCGTGGTGATGATGAGGCTGATTGTGATGCTGATGCTGCTGATGATGATGATGATGATGATGGTGGTGATGGTGATGGCGATGTTGCGGGTGAAGACAATCATTATGAGCATCATGATTATGCTGATCATGATGATGGTGGTGCTGATTATGATGGTGATGTTGAGGACGATGACGATGCTGATGATGACCATGACGACGTTGATGAGGCTGACGATTGTAGTGGTGATGATGGTGATATCGATGATGCTGCTGATGGTGGTGGTGGTGATGACGTTGACGATGATGATGTCGACGATGATGCTGATAATGATGATAATGATGATAATGATGCTGATGATGAGGATGATGATGCTGACGATGATGATGAATCTGATGATGATGCTGATGCTGATGCTGATGCTGATGATGATGATGATTATGATGATGATGCTGATGACGATGATGATGATGATGATGATGATGATGATGATGAGGATGATGATGATGATGATGATGATGATGGTGATGACGCTTGGTCAGATCTTGACAACCGCGCTGCAATATGCAGCCTCCTGTGCACAGCAATCGCTACCGAGGACAGCGATCGACGTATGGGCCGTGTCCCCCCCGGCCCTGGGTGGCTCTCGGGGCTTCTCCCCTGTTTCCCCTTTTCGGCCCCGCTCGTTCACCTGCGTGCTTCCATGCCCGTATTTCGCCTCTAGCTTAGAGATGCGAGCAAGTTCGTTTCGCTCCGATGTTCCGAAATATCTCCCCTCTTGCCATTCCGATCCTCCCTCATGCCGCCCGAGTCTGGGACAGTGGTAAGCGGAGCGTCTGGTGGTGGAGAGGTGAGCATTCTTTTATTATTTGTTTTTGCTTTCGGCGGAACGCCCCTCCCCCCCCCTTCCCCCCCCCCGTAGAGAAGTTCCGGGCTGATTTTGGCACCTGCTTCAATCGATCGGACGAACTACAGGGGCCGGCGCCCCCCCCCCCCCTCCCCCGGTAGAAACTCGAATCGTTGATGTGTGCAACTGTGCGCATTTTATCGTGTTTCTCTTCTGGAACCACAACGAAAGGGCTCAGGGGCGCCAGACCCGATCGCCAGAAAGCATGCCTCCGGCTGGGCCCTCCCCTGTTATGCCAGCGACGGCCTCGTGGAATCATGAATAGGTGATCCGTAGCAATTCTGGCACAGGCTTGCCAAATCACGCATAGCCTTGGCGCAGCCCCGCGCAGCCTCTGCGCGATTCCCCCATGGGGGGTCTCCCCTAGGATTCCCTCATCGGCATCTCCCACAGGATTCCCCACATGATTCAATCGGAGGCATTGACTACGGGCCGAGAGCCGGACCCCCCCCCCTCCCCCCCATGCGCCTAAAGCCGGAACCCAGAATGAAAAAATGCTCACGAGCAGGGGAAGCAACAAGAACGAGGAGCAGCAGAACAGGCACGCAGAGAGCAGCAGACACAGACAGCAGCAACGACAGAGTGGCACGAAGACTGGTGGGCCAACCGGAGATGGGACGACTGGGTTGCGAATGACTGGAGTCAGTGGGAAGATTGGGACTACTCGGACGGCTGGCGCAGGCAATCTATCTCGTCTCCTCAGGAAAAGGGACTATGGGCCTCCACCACAGTGGCTGGGTTTCGAGAACTTGGAACTATATCGTCTGAACGTTCACTCCTTCACTCCTGGGCTGCGCGCACTGGCTATAAACCCGATCAGAGAGCTGGCAAGATACTCGAGACGATGCCCGTGGATATCCAGCTCAAATTTAAAGTGTTGAGGCGACAGCTCGATCATGACGACGGACTCCAACGTTTAGTCGAGTATCACAGGGGTTCTCAATGGTAAAGGGCCGGGGGACAAGGAGAGGGAGGCTGAGGGAACTGCCCTTTTCGACTACTCGTTGCATCGCGGAAAATCGATTACGCACTACGTTCTCAGGCGGGATACCCAGATCGGTGAGGCTGAAGTTTACGGTCTGCAGCTTCCAGATTCGGTGCTTGCGAGACTGCTCGAGGAAGGTGCTAACCTGAGCCCCCAAAACACAATCAACATGCGTACGTTGGCAGGGGGTAAGCTTGATCACAAGTCGATCCGAGATGCACTTTTTAAACTCGATGCTCGTGTAAAAAAGGGGTGCTGCCAGTTTCACAGACGCACAACGCCAAGACCTTCGCGACTGATTTATGTTTCAGAGGGCTCTTCTTCTGCTGTTTCTGCTGGTCCCGTGGATGCGAGTTCATATTTTGCTGAGCCTCCGGACGACACGTTTGAACTGCCGGAAGGGGAGGCCGAAGCATCCCTGTCAGCGCCAGTGGTGCAGGAGCTACCGCAGGAGGAGCTGATGATAGTATTGGCAGCAGTCATAGAGGAGAAGGTGGGAAAGGACAAGAGGCGCATTTGGGCTGAGGCACGAAAACTCATGGCCGAGTAACGCATCGAACGTGACTTTTTTGATAAGAAACGGGCTAGCAGATCAGGATACAAACGAATCACCTCCTGGGACCTGAAACGCCGATCTCGATGCGCGAACTGTGGAGACACGGGACACTGGGACGAGAATTGCCGAAAACCGCACCGCTCCCGCGAATCGACACCGTCAGGAGGGAACGGGCCTTCTGCTTCGTTCTTCTTTGTGAACGAGGACACGACATCCGACGACGAGGGTCGCACGTTTCATTCTTCGGGTTTGAGGGCTCAGATCCGATTCTGGAGAACTTTACCGCAGCTGACTGGAGCGGTCTGGACCAGGGCGCTCGCGGGATCTCTCGGAGCCTCAGTTTGAAGAACATGATGGACCACGCGCTGATTGACACGGCCGCCGGTCAGGCGCTGATAGGGAAGGAGGATGTTGATCAGTTGTGCCGCTCTTTCGCCGAGAAGGGCTTCCGGGCGTTCGTGAAGATGGGGGGGGGGTCCCCCGCGAGGTGGCGAGCGGGATCGGGGGGAGAGCCGAGCCCATCGGTAAGGCTTGGGCCCCTTTCTCCCTGGCGGGCTTCGGCTTCGTGGAGTTTCCCGTGTTGGCCAACCGCCGCCCTGCAGTCTTACCCGCTCGACTCCTGGAGATGCTTGGCGCGAAGGTCGATCTCTGTAGCAACGCGGTAGAGGTGGGCGATCGTGGCTGCCGAACGGCCAGGCCCATGTTTCGCCACTCGTCTGGGCACCGGAGCATCGGACTTGTGCACTGTGACCCCGAGGGTTTCCAGGTGAGCGACCATGTTCGCGATGCTCTTCCGACGGGGCGCTTCCCGGTTCGTCCGGACCCAAGGGGATTGGGCAGTGAGGGGCGGGCGGAGTCGGCGGCAGCCTGGATAGTGCTTTCAGTCTCGTCTCCTGTTCTTTCCTTTCCGAGTCGGGGGGCTCCCGGGTGGTCTTCCGAGGGGTCGAGCCATGTAAAGGACTGCGGGGTCAATTCGAGTCGGTCCGTAGCTCGTTTGGCTCGAGCCTAGCTGCCTGCCTCTGTGGACCGTCTCTCCAGTTCACACTGCTACGAAAGGAGAAGAAGGTGATCGAGCCCAAGAAGGAGGGTCGAGCCTCCTCGGCCTGTCCGAGCGTCGGCCAGTGATGACGATGACGGACCCCACCCAGCGCCCGCTCGCGAGGCCGGCAGGGCCCGCGTAAGCCCGCCAGCGTGCCAGGAAAGAGAGGCAGGCGGGGAGAGGCCACGGGCGTCGTCGTCCCCCAGCAGCCGCCGCCGAGCCAGCCTGGTCGCCTACGTTACGCTGTAGTGCCATTGCGGAATCCTTGGCGTCGCTCGGACGTGTGCATTCCTTCTCGCGGAGGACCATTGGGGAGCAGATCGGATCACCCTTCGAACACTGAACGCACCGCACGGAGCCGACAGATGCACGGGGAACGGACGTCCGAGCGACGGCAGGTAGTGCCTTTACCGGGTTAGACAGGTAAGCTGCATATACTTATGCGATCACATGCGAGCTCTCCCCATGCGGGTCCAATCGACGCTGGGGTATCGGACACGCCCGTTGGGGTTCACCCCACTGCAGGCACCCTTCGGATTTTGAATCCAAGCCGGGATTTCAGAGGTTTGATGTGCAGGGGTAGGGCTCACATGTGGTGGCCTAGTACTCAGGCAGTGCGCGTCGGTGTTTGCGTACCGCATGAACACGTATCCAGTTAAACTTACTCACACAAACAAGCAGGCACACTCACACACACACACATGCGCGCACGCACTTTACGTCGCAGTGCGGCAGAGGCAGTCCGCACGCGCGCTCAAGCGGTCTGGGCAACGGAAAGCGCGAATTGACCAGCGACGCACGCGCGCACGCACGCGCCCACCTCTTTTCAATCATGGAGACGCCGTCGCACTCGCAGGGAAGGGGTGGCGCGGGTGCAAAACGAAAGAGAGCGCGCAAGCACTGCACATAGAAGAAGAAGAAGAAGAAGAAGAAGAAGAAGAGAGCGCACGAGCACTGCACACAGAAGAATAATAAAGAATAAGAAGAAGAGAAAGAAGAAAAACGGCAGGACAGCGGCCTGTAGGGAGGTGGTGCGGGTGCTCCACCCCAGCATTGCCCCAAGAGCAGAAGTTCGCTAGGATTTTGCACGCAGGGCAGGTGCGCAGGCCAATGGACGTCTTTGGGAGGGGCCGGGACTGGTGGCGCAGTCGCAGTCCTTGCGAAGGTCGCAGAGGTGGCGCTTCACAGCCCTACAGCGGGCGTCCATCCAGAGGCAAGACCGTCCGCGGACCAGCAAAGACGCCGTATGTGAGCGGGGTGGGGGGAAGGTGAGGCGGGAAGACGGAGCGGGGCATGGGAGGGCACGAAGGGAAGCACGGCAACCGTCGGCCGTCGGTGCGCCCAACGAGTGAGGCGATAGTGATGAAGAGAAGCAGAGCTGCAGGTTCAGTCGATTTCGAATGCCTATCTTCCCCAAGGCGCTACCAGCATCGCCTGGCCCCTCGTCCTTCTCCTCCTCCTCATCATCCTCATAATCCTCGTCATCCTCCTCTTCGCCTCATCATCATCTTCGTCGCAGCGGCAAGCCGGTCCGAGCTCACCTCGAAGCGCAGACTCCGGGGTGCTCTTGTGGCTTTGGCTGCGCTGGAGCGCCTCTTCGCAGCAGCTGGGCCCCACCCTGCCCAGCCCAGCGCTGCGAGGCCCCTTGGCTCGGGAACGGCAAGGAGGCCTCCTTCTTGCACTTGCACCCCGCATTCAAGGACGCTCCGCTCGGCCGCGGAGCACGGAGTGCACGAGGGCGGTGCGCCTGAGCTCGGAGTTGCTCTCTCGGGCTTGTGCGCCCGTTGCCTTCCCCGACCGCGCGCAAGGAGGGGGTGTTTGGAAGAAGCCTCGGCATGGCTCGGCCTTGTTTCAGGTGGGCGTCGGCTGCGGGTGGACCGATCTATCGAAGTGGTGGGGGGGGGGGCGAGTGGATTTGATGGTCGCGATCCATTTCTCCCACGACCTAGGTGGGGCTCTTGTTTTCCCTGGACACCCCCACACAGGAGAAAGAACACCTCCCCCTCTCCTCTCCTCATCCTACGCGTGCCATCGTCATCCTCACACAGACACAGTCGCAACATCATCAACATCATCATCATCACCACCACCACCATCATCATCACCACTATCATGATCACCATCAGCATCGTCATCATCGTCGTCATTACCACCATCCTTATCATCATCATCCGGCATCATCATCGTTCTCAACACCATCATCACCAACATCTTCATCATCATAACCATCCTCATATTCATCACCATAATCACCATCATCATCGTCATCCTCATTCTTCTCCTCCTCGTAGTCGTCGAAGTCGTCGTCGTCGTCGTCGTCGCGTCGCCGTCGTCGTCGGCACCATCATCGTCATCACCATCATCAGATCCCACCTTTTTTTTGGTTTGGGGTGGCGGGTGGGGGGCAGCTGTTGAGGCTTGAATATGGAGGAAGTCTCTAGAGGGCGCCTCGTCCGTGCTAGTGTCGCACGTCCGGAGCAAACTGTAAGCCACTTTGGCTCTTCGTGCTCCCAGAACTCCACTCCATTGACTGTTTTGACTGAATGTCCAGACCCGCTGTCGGCTACTTCGGTCTTTCTATGATCCCTGAATTTTACCCCTGGACTGGCTTTGCGTTGGTGTCATGGCAAGTTGGCTTCCAAGCATCACTGGCATCGTTGGTATCCATGGCCTCCCGGCCTCCCTTGGATTTGGGGACCCCAGAAGCCAAGGTATCCCTGGCCCCCCAGGTCTAACAGAGTTTCGCAGGTTATGAGAATCGCGCCCTCACTCACATACTCGCGCACCATAGCCCGCACACATGTGCAAACGCACATACATGCACACGCCACACGCACACACTCATCTTGAGTAAGTCTCAAGCGGGAACCTTGTCTATGCGTCAGCTGCGAGGCAGTATCGAGGGGGAGGCCCTTCTCCCTATAGGGCCCCACTTCATGTTACTAATTCGAGGCGGCCATCGGAGTACTTTGCAAAAACGCAGCATTGGTGGCAACTGGTAGCTTGAGTCTCGAAGAAGTCTGAAGCGGGAGCCTCGTTCTTGGGCTCCTTGTGAGGATGGTTCGAGCGCCTGCCTGTGCGTGACTTTGGAGGATCGGACAAGAGCCCCCTCCCTAAGGGCTCCCACATCATGTTACCAATCTGAGGCGGCCATCGGCATACCCTGGCAACACAAGAATCGGTAACACCTGATAGCTTGACTCCCGAGGGGGTCTCGTTCAAGACAGGCTTCGGTATACCAATTCTATCTCTCATATATTGATCTGTATATATATATATAAAAATTATCGAGGGGGTCTCGAACGGGAGCCTCGTTCCTGAGCAAGTTGTCTCGACCGGTGCCCTCGTCTGTGAGTGAGTCGCCAGGAAGTCTCGAGCGGGAGCCCTCGGAGTGCCGCAGAAGGCCGCAGGAAGCACCAGGAGATTTCAGGAAGCCACAGGAGGCCTCGGGAGACCTCAGGAGGCCCCAGGAGTAACCATGAGGCTTCAGGAGTCCCTGGAGCCACCATTAAAGCTAAGGAGGTCCCAGGAGTTCCCCAGGAAGCCCCAAGAAGCCCCAGAAGGCCTGAGGAGGCTCCAGGAGGTCCAGGAGAATCCGGGAGGCAACAGAAAGCCCCATGTGGTGGCAGGAGGCCCCAGGAGGAGGAGGAGGAGGCAAGGAGGAGGAGGAGGAGGAGGAGGAGGAGGAGGAGGAGGAGGAGGAGGAGGAGGGTGCAGGAGGATGAGGCAGGACGGGCAGGAGGAGGATGATGATGATGAGGAGGAGGAGGAGGATAAGTTGGCAGGAGGCAGGAGGAGAAGGATGAGGCAGGAGGGGAAGGACGAGATAGGAGGAGGGGGCTGGAAGATCTCCCCATGCAAGTTAAACGATTTTCATGCGAGGTCCTACTGTCGGAGTAATTGTTTGTCGCCCCCGTCACGCGACCCGCTCGCGACTCGCCCCGCGTCCCATCCGCACCGCGACCCACCCACGACATTGTTTCAACCACATCGGGGCCTGCGGCGTAGGCGAACCACCCACATCGTTTTCGAAAGCCCGCGGCGGGCTGTTTTGTATTGGCCTATCGCAGTCTGGGCGCCGCCCTCACTCTTATCCGCATCTGCGGGGGACTCGGTATCTTCGTGTCTCCAGAGGGGGGAAGTCCGCAGAGTGGTGAAGATGGGCCGGATCCATCCACTCGGCGGGGGAGGGGCCGACCGCCCTGGGAGCACGTGGCACTCCCCAGAACACACGTTCCCAGAGTTGCCTCTATGGCAGTCGGGGCGCTGAAGATGGAACCCTTTTCGTTGGGGAGGGGCTCAGTTGTCTTTAATTCCTTACAGCTTGGCTTATGTTGCCCTTAGGCGTTTGATGGGAAATCGAAGTTTGAGGCTGTGGAAACAAAGGGGCCTTTTCCCTTATTGCGAAGGCCTTACGGCTAGCGCCGCCGACCCTGAGGGGGGACGACGACGAAGACATCGACGATGAAACTGTTCAAAACATTACGGAATGAAATGGAGGAGGAGAGGGGGACGGATGAGGCGAAGGGGAAGGGGAAACGGAGGGAGGAGGGAAGATATTTAGGAGGAGGAGGAGGGATGAGAAGCTGGATGGCGGAGGATCCGTAATTGATTCGCCATCTACCAGGGGGGGGGGTCGCCACCAAGACAAAGGGCAGCGCGGCAACCATTTTACTGTGTATACACTGTCGGGCTGCCGACGACGACGACGCTGATGTAGGTCAAAGTCCTCAGGGATTCTTCTTGGGGTCTGGTCAAAACGCTCTTGGGGGCCTCGGGGGAGAGTGTAGGGGTCTATTGGGAGCCTCTTGGGGGCCTCTTGAGGCTTCGGGGGGCCTGGGCCTCTCGGGAGCATCTTGGAGTCTCCTCGGAGCTTCTTGGGGGCCTTTGCGGGGCCTCTTGGCTTCTCCTGGGAGCACTCGGGGCGGAGGGCTCAAAATGTCAGTTTTGGTCCGTCGTCTCGGCACCATCTTGGAGCCGCCTTGGGGGCCTATGTGGCTCTTTTGAAGGCGTCTTGGGACTCTCTTGGGCCGTTTTGGGTCGCTCGTGGAGCCCTCTGGGGCTGTCTGGGGGCGATCTGGGAGGCCGCTTGGGCCGTCTTGGAGCGTCGGGAAGCGACAGAGGCGAGAACGCCGAAATCATTCAAAAACTTATGGAAAATCTGTGATGTTTGCTCTTGAGGCACTCTTGGGACTGCTCCTGGAGGCCTCTTTGAGCGTCTTGCAGGATTCTTGGGCCGTCTGGAGGCCGTCCAGGCGTCCTGACGCCTTGGACAGATCGTTCGGCGATTCGGGGTCCTCGTGGACTGTCTATGGGAGTTTTTGGGGCACTCTTGGCCCGTCTTGAAGCGTTTTTGCGGCTCAGGCGCTCCCAGGGGGTAAGCGTATCTGACCCGGGACCACCTCCCCTCCTGGCGGAGGAGGGATATAGGGAAGGGGCTTCCCGTCGAGTGTCTGACGAGGTTGCTGAATTTCGCTTTGGACGTGCTTGAGGAGGAGAGCCCAGGAAAGGAGAGAGGAACGGCGACGGGCACAGGGAACGGAAAGCGCAAGGAAAGAGGACGACAGAGACGATGATGAACGAATGACGGCGACGACGACTCGAATGGAAAAGCCCCTCACAACAGAGACGACGATGAACGAATGACGGCGACGACGATTCGAACGAAAAAGCCCCTCGCACGCGCCGACAGGGTCGGCGGAATTAGGGTTCATTTGAAGGCGTTTCGACTGTACCTCGCCTCATCTTGCTACGGGGCCCTCTGTCCAAGACTGCCGGTCTCCGACGCTCGCGCCTGCCTGCTCCCGCCGCCGAGCGGCCTCGCACGAGGAGGCGGGCCAGACCACGCGCGAGGATCAGAGAGTGGAGGCCTGTGCTGCAGCGGGATCCCGCAGGCGTTCCTGCACGAGCTCCCCCCCCCCACACCCCTGGAGATATACACCAGGCTTCCTTAGGGTCTAGGCCTCCTCGCTCAAGGAGGCAGGCCGGACCGCGCGGGAGGATCAGAGAGCGGAGGCCCGTGCTGCAGCAAGATCCTGCAAGCAGTCCTGCATGAGCCCCCCACACCGCTTGAGATACACACCAGGCTTCCTTGGGGGGCCAGGATGTGTGTATGCGTTGCATCGCCAGGGGCGCTTGGGAGAATGGGCACTCTTTGGCAAGAGGGACGAGTTCGAACAGCGTGCGTGCTGCGACGCGCTGGTCAGACGTTGCCCCCTGGAGGCCGGGAGCCCTTGCGCCCTTGCGCCTTGTCCAGATTCGCGCAACCAGCAGGGGCGAGGGGCGGCGGCAAGGGACATGCCCTCATCCAAGCATCCAAGACACCCAGATACCCGACGTCAAGTGTTTCACAGCTTGGATCCCCCGGAGGTTGGAGGTTTCGACCCATTCCCCAGGACCAGTTGTTTCATTCCGAGTCGCTCCTTGACGGTCCCAGGGCCTGGCGAGGGTTCCAAGAGGCAGACGAAAACAAACATAACGTCAGTCACGTTTTTGTTGCACGACGCGAGGGGGTCTGGGCAAGGCCCCTCCCCTCGGAGCAACACGCGCGATTCCAGACAAGGCTGCGGGACGTCGTTGCTGCCACCCACCCGGAACGTCCGCGAGGTCTCGCCCCCCGATGCGCGACGACGACGACGACGACGACGACGCCGAGGGCCACCGAGGGCCGCCGAGGGCCGCCGAGGGCCGCCTCGGCGGCCCTCGGCTGCCCTCCGATCTGGCACCCCTCTCTCATTGCCAGGGTCGCGGCGCGAGCAGGCATCCTTCTTCGGCCGCTTGCGTGTGTCGGTTGATGATACGGCGCTTACACGGTCGGACCGAGGTCCGAGGTCGAGGTCGGTTCGGGGGGGCACCCCAGTGTTCTTCGTGTTCGTTGGATGTTCTTGTGCATCCTGGGGGAGGATACCCTTGGTTGTTCTTGGCTGTCGGAGGGCCTGACGCTCTTTCAGGATGTTCTTCTGGCATAGGTCCTGCTGCAGTCGTCCCTGATAAGGTAACGGTGTTCAGCGCAAACGGGGCTCAGCCAGAGCGTTGTATCTTGCAGGATCCTGCGCAGTTCAGGAGCCGCTGCCCTGGATGTGTCCTCACAGATTGGCCGAGCTGGGTTTGGGAAGCCCTCCAATACATTGCCGTGCAGTTTTTGTTTCTGATTGGCCGAGCCGGGTTTGCGTTGAGACGGGTTAATCCACGACCGAAGGATGCGCAGGCATGCCGCTGAAACGCTACCTCGTGCTCCTCTCCTGCCCCTTGATCTGGGTTGGGCCCCTCTCTGCGCGAGGACGTGGGGTGGGGCTATCAGCCACGTCCTTGCCTGCGCTTGGGAATACTCGGGCGCTGACACTCGCACCGCTCGCGGCACACTTCGGCTGAGCCTGAAGACGTTCGGGCATGGGCTGCAACCTTTCCCGTCGGCTAGGATATGACACGGGGTCTCAATCGTCCCAGGCTGCGCGCTATCCGCCCGCAACCCGTAACGAAATTGTTGAAGACCGCCTCTTTCGGGTGTGCATCAAAGCCATTGCGAGAGTGAGGACAACATGTCGGTCCAGCAGACGGACGAGTTCACGCGGACCCTCGTGCTGTCGCACACCGACCCGGGTTCGCAGTTGCCCGCGAGCATTCGGGCGCGTCGGGGACGGGGAATTTTTGACGAGATGGCTGATGTTGTACAGACTCGTGAATATCACCTGTAAGTATCCTGTGGCGTTAGGCTCTCGTTACGGATCCGCAGCGCCCCGCACCCCCCCTTCTCCTCATCCTGCCTCCCCTCCTCACCCCACCTCCCTCTCCTCTTCCCCGTCATCCTTTTCTCCAACCCTCCCATATGGAGTTGGGTCTTTTGAGTCTGCGGCTTCGCGCGTATCCTCCTCCTCCTCCTCCTCCTCCTCCTCCTCCTCCTCCTCCTCCTCCTCCTCCTCCTCCTCCTTATATATATATATATAATTTCTCCTTGGAAATTTGCAAGAGCTTCACGGATAGAGGGCGGGTGGTTTTCAACATGTGGCTCTCGCTGTAGCGCCGAGCACACTCTTTTGAAACATTTGCAAGCTTTTCGTGGGTTTTCAACATGTGGCTCTCGCCTTACCGCCGCGCACATTCGTTTTCAAACTTTGCAAGAGTTTCACGGATCGTGAGCGGCTCCTTTTCAAACTGTGGCTCTCGCCTTAGCGTCTGGCACATTCGCTTCAACATTTGCCAGAGTTTCACGGATTCCCATGATCAGCGTACCGGAGTGGTGTTTTTGAAGGATTCAGGATTATGCGGGTGTTGCAGATATGTTGATTCGCGGTGTTGAAGTCCCAAAAATGGCGCTCTGGCACGATTCAGGATCGTCAAGACGCAGCAGTCAGGTTGATACGTGGCGTTGAAATCCAGAGAATAATGTTTTGGCATGCTTCAGGATCTTCAAACTGTTGTCTTCCAACGAGGCACTTCCCTCAATGGAAATGAACCGTTGTGGGGGCCTGTGAAGAGGGAGCTTGGAGGGATGGTTAATTCCAACATCGTTGATGACTCGTGGTTTTACACTTGTCCTCTTCCTCCTCCTCCCCAGCTTCGTGGCCCCATAGGGAGCTGCAACTAAGGCCCAAATTCAAGGGTGCGCCTGGCGCCACCGCCTCATTTCAGCACATCGTTCACACGTTCCGAAGACTCCGGTAGCAGGTTCCGCGTGGCGGCTGTGCTTCATGTCGGCACACCCCCGCACGTTGCTTGGCCCCGCATGGAGCTCCACCGAAGGATCCAGTGGGTCCGCATTGCGGCGGTGCTTCATTTCGGCACACCGTCCGCATGCTGGGCGGAGGCAGGTTCGGTGCACCCGTCATGAGGGTCGTCTCCCAGGGGGGGCTCCACTTGTGGCCCAATGCCAGGGTCCGCATGCTGAGCGGCTCCAGTGTCGGAGCACTGGCTCGCACGTTTCGTGGCCTGTAGAGAGCTCCAACTACGGCCTCAGCGACAGGGTCCAGGCGGCACCACCGCCCCCATTCTCGCTGCCCCGAGCTCCGTTTCTTCCGTGACGAGCTGCCTATGAGGAGAGGGCCGCGTCTCGTGTCACTCGTAGCTGCATGGGGCTGGGTCCTTCGCCTGGCTGATTTGATGGTAGTCTGAGGGACAGGACCCCCGAACGAAGGATGGAGACCGAAGGCGGGAAGAGGGGAAAGTGGAGTATAAAGTCGAGGGCATGCAGTACCGAGTCGAGGGCGCACGGATCAGGATCGTGGTCTTTGGGCCGAGCACAGAAAGGTGACCGAGGTAGACGGTGATTGATCAGTATCGTGGAGATGGCTACGACAGGTCGACGGATGGAGTTCGGCAAAAGAGGACGGGTGGATGAGAGCAGTGGATGGTAGTAGGAGGGCGAATGAAGTGCAGGCAGGGGAAAGGAGACAATCGAGTGGATAGGAGGCAATAGAGGGAGTGGATGGACGAAAGGAGATGATTACGAGGTAGCCGAGGTGTTAATATTTGACAAGAGCGTAGGCTCTAGCATGGAAGACCAAGCGCATAACGTGACAAGGGGGAATGGCGAATTGAGATGGTTGTGAGATGAACGGCTCAGGGTTACAAGTCCATAGGCATCATATTGACGGTGGATGGGTGTGTCAAGTCTTGTCGGCAGGTCATCAAAGGGGATCTAATTTTGGCTATGGCACATCCTATGGAAGTGTCCCATTGTTTGCTCCATGCGCAGGTTGAGGCAATATGTCGATGTTTGTTCCGCTGTGGCTCTGGCCTCCTTCGAATTCCACACTTGCCTCCGCCATCTCCAACTGCCCGATGACCAGGGCGGATCGGCGTCGAACAAGTGTGGAAAGCATTATAAAACGCTAGACGCTACCAATCTAACGACGAATGCGTTTCGTAATCTTGTATCGCCGCCACCTCGTTGCATCTGAAGGGCTGCACTCTCTGCCGCCGGCTCTCCAGGCTGAGCCCTCCTGTGGCCATGTTGGAGAAGTTTAGGGGCCATCTGAAGCGACCATATGGGCCTTTCGCGGCCATCTTCGGGCCATCTTGGCCAATCTCGGGGCAATCTTGAGGCCAATGGGCCCCCCTCCCCCTTGGGGCCTCTTGGGCCGTCTTGGGGGCACCTTGGGCCGTCTTGGGGGCCCCCTTGAGCCGTCTTGAGCGCCTCCTTGGGCCGTCTTAGAGCCCCCCTGGGCCGCATTGGGGCCCTTTTGTTACCCTGTTGGGCTGTCTTGGAGCCCTCTTCGGGACCTTGGAGGCCGTCTTGGGCTTTCGGATGCCAGAAGTGGCCAGCACGTTACTATCTAATGAAAGCCTTTGGGAACACAAACATTGTGTTTTGCTCTGTCGGGCGTCTTGGGCGTCCTCTTGGAGCCCCCTAAAGCCGTCTTGGAAGCCTCTTGGGCCGTCTGGGGGCCATCTTGAAGCCCTCTTGAAGCGCCTGGAAGCCTTCTTGGGCAGCATTGGTGCCGCCTTGGAGGCCTTTCGCCCGTCTGCGGGCGAGCTTGGCTGTCTCGGGGCGTTGTCTCGCTGTGCTGGCTGTCTTGGGGCGTTTTCGATGCTGTTTGGGATGTGTGTTGTGTGTCTTTGCTGCTTTGGGCCGTTTTGACTCCTTCAGTCAAAGCCTCTCTGGGATAAGCAGACTTCTCCAAACTGCATTCGCTATGGATAATTACCCCACGTCGGCTGCGGAGAGGGGGCGGGCTGTTTTTTGGACCAGGCGCGCGGCGAGGGAGCGGGGTCGGCCCCAGAAACACTGAAGAAACCTTGCCCGACAGCACAGGAGCACTCGAACAAGCCCCAGCATGCACAAGACACGGTGGAGGATAATCCGGGGAGCGACACGCAGCCCTGGGTCATACGTAACCAATGGGTCTCCAGGCTTGGCCTGTTCGTAGGCGTCGTCGTCGTCGTTGTCGTCAATGAGATTATTGGATCGTTGTCTTCAATACCTGCCCAGCGGCAGAAACCTTTTTCCAAGCGTTCCACCCTGATTGTTATTCTCTTCATCATTTCACGCTAGTCGTCTAGCATACCCTGCGAGCTCGCACGGCCATGTGCCATGTGTCTTGCTGGTGCTTGCTCCCAGCATTTGTTTTGGCAGCCTTAGCCCACTTTCTTGCTCCCCTGTCATTGCAGAACAGCTTGCGTAACCATCTCTAGAGCTCTAGAAGCTTGGAACCTCACGTGACGAAGAAATATCTTCGCGGGTTGCCCATTGCGCTCTCATGAGTAAAGATTGAGATCGTCGACTGCGCCAACGTCGTCTCCGTCATCCGACAGGCTCGGCAAGATCGGCTTCGTTCAGTGTTGTCGGCATTCGGTCGACCTGGTGATCGGTTTTCGGAGGATGAGCAGGAGGATAATGAGATGGAAAAGGAGGATTAGATCGCACGAGTGGTCGTTTCGAACGGCGGTCAGAGCGGCCGTGCTCCAGTCTGGACACCAGAAGTGGAGAAAACCTTGGCGCGAGGCGCTCCGAACCGTGAATCTACCTACACGGGATCTGTCACGCCGGATGCACCCGTACATGTCCCGAGGCCCAGGGAGGGGTTCTTTGAGAGCCACTTGTCATCACGACCAATGGGACCCTCCCTGGACGACCGACGAGGGAACATAGGCAGGAGGAAGAGAGGGACGCGCAAAATTGATGTGACGAGGCAGTCTTCATTCGCTTCTTTCTCCCTCTCACTTTACTCGACATGTGCCATGTGCTCATTTATTATCGTGCCAGTTTTGATGCATGGGCTCGCCCAGCTCTATGTCAGCACAATATTCTAGATCACAAGGTCTTGAGGAAACAAAGCGCGGCTGGGGCGAGTGAGTCAGTCAGTCAGTGAGCGATTTATGTAGTCAGGCAGCTGACTTGATCAGATCAATCAGTCCAGTCAGTCCAGTCAGGAAGTCGGTGGGTCTGCACCGCCCTGCTCCCTCTCCAACTCCGCTTCCTCCTCCCCCTCCCCCTCCCCCTCCTCCTCCTCCTCCTCCTCCTCCTCCTCCTCCTCCTCCTCCTCCCGAAGTTGGAGGTCCTAGAGCTGGGGCCTCAGAGCGGGGCACCGGCAGGCTTTCGTCGACGACGCGAGCTTGTCTGCACGCAGCCGGGCAGACGCCTTCGTGTCGTTCCTGTCGCAGGCGCGGGGGCTCTGGCGCCGACGCGGGCTGGCCTCCATGCCAGCCAATCGCCGCTTTGCACATGAGTGTGGCGCTTTGCTTCGAAGAAGCTGTGGCAGGCCCGTTGGCCAAAGAATGTGCTTTGGATGAAATGCAGTAGTCTTCGGGCGCATTATTTCCAACCTGTTGCGCCACAGCTGCTGCCGTCTCTTTCAGGTCCTCGTTTTCTTTCTGCTGCGCTGCGCGACTCCCCCCGCCTTCCTTCTGTCAGCACCTCATCCCCTTCCCGCCGTTGCTGTGATGCAGGTGCTGTTGCTGCTGCTAGTCCTGCTGCTGCTGCTGCTGCTGCTGCCACTGCTGCCACTGCTGCTGCCGCCACTGCAGCTGTGCTGCCTGCTGCCGCGCTTGCTGTTTGTATATCATGCCTCCGCTGGAGCTGTTGCTGCTGGTACCCGCCTCGCTGCTGTTTTTGCTGCTGCCGCTGCTGCCGCACTCCAGCACCCCCCTCGCGACATTCGTGTGCAATAGGAAGCCCTAACAATGGCCCCCAGCGGGCGTTTCCGCATGCGCCCCCGCGGCCATCTCATGTTGCGAGGGAGCCTCAACTGCGGCCCGAGCGCGCGTGTCCGCGTGCCTCACCGCGGCACATTTCGGCACGCCCCTCACGTCCTTCGTGCCCAATAGTGAACCCCATGTGCGGCCAGAGTTGGCCGCTTCGCACATGTACACACGCACCTCCGCAGCCCATCTCGGCACAACCCTCGCGCTTTTCGCGCACACCGGGCGACCTATTTATGGCAATGGTGGGCTTGTTTGCATGCTTGTGTCGAACCCCCCTCGCCCACCTCGTGCCCGTTTTGATGCCCTGGCCATGGTCGCAGTGGGCGCGTCTGCATGCGCTCTCGCAGCCCATCTCGGCGCAGCCTTCGCGCCGTTCGTGCCTCAGGGGGAGTTCCAGCTACGTCCCTGGTGCGCGTGCCCGCGTGCCCCCCAGCGGCCAATCTCGGCACGCATAGAGCCGCAGCTGTGGCCCAACTTGGCGCGTCCATCTGCGTCCTCGCGGCCCATCTCGGCACACGCCCTGCGCATTTCTTGCCACACTGGGAGCCCCAACTACGGCTCCGACGGGCGTGCTCGCCTTCGTCTAAGCGACACAGTTCGGCGCGTTCCTTGGCGCTCGTCGTGGCTTGCGGTGGGCTCCAGCTACGGCCCTGGTGGGCGAGCCCGCATGCGCCCCTGAGGCAATTTACGGCACGCCCCTCACGCACTTTAGTAGATGACACACGGGAGGCCCATCTGGCGGTCTCGATGAGGGCGCCCGCACGTGGCCGCCCAAGCAGGTCGGCACTCCCCTCGCGGAACTCGTGCCCCATGGGTCACCCCCTATTGCATTGTCAGTGAAGGCGCCCACGCGCGGCCGCTGCATGTGTTTCCACGCCTTTGGTGCGACAAGGGAAGCTTCAACAGCAGCTCCAGTGGGGGCGCCGTATGATCTTACCACATCCCTGACACACTTCGTGCCCAATTGGGGGCCCAAGATATCTCCGCGCTTGTTTATCCAAACGCTCTTTATGGACAGTGACTGGGACCATGGCAGCGATCGCCCCTCCCAATGCTCGTAATTACCAACTTAGCGACGCTTGTGCTACAGCGCGCGCGCGCACACAGCGATTAGGTATCAACCAGCCTAACGAAGTGCCCAGCCCTTCGCAGTTGTATATACCATGAGTCCCTGTGCTTTCGTTTCTTTGCTGCTCCATAACTGGGAGGGGGGCCCTATATTGAGCAACGAGATGCAAACACGCCAAACAACACGCGGCGGTGCATTGCATTTCGAACGCTGCTAATCACTGCTCGTTGTCCGTTGCCCATCGTTTGCCACGGGGACGTCTGCTTCCACATTTGCAAGTTGTGTTGCCCCAGCGCCCAGAGTTTTGTGCTGACTGGCCGCTGGTCACTGCTAGGTGCTTGCTGCCCCATGTTTGCAGATCAATGACTGAATGGAGGCGGGTGATGCGAACAGCTTCTGCTTCGAGGCCAGCGATATGCGTTCTGTCAAAGGGTGAGAATGTGACACACTGGTGCGCGTGTAAGCCCCTCTTATCGCGTACCTTGTCCTAGGGCCTGAGGTCCGCGCGGGGCTCCATGCCTGGTGCGCCCGCCTTCCCTAGCCCACAGCTGGGACCGCGCTCCCCCTGCAGTGCTCCCCCGCATAGGGTTGTGTTGCCCTGCTCGGGCTGGGCCGCGCTCCCGCTGAGTGTTTCTGCCACGTAGTAATTCACGGAAGGGTCCGCTCGTTTTTATCGCCTTGAATGCATATTGGCGAATCGCACCCGGTAAGTAGCACCGAATAGCCCTCAACAGCGCCTAGTAGTGCCAGCTGGCGCTCAAATAGCGCCCACTAGCGACCAATGGCGCCCAATAGCGCCATGTGAGGGAGATACATTGTGGCCGCTTTGCGCGCGATTGGGCGCGCTGCAGGACGCCATGGGGACGACCAACAGCTTCCGTGAGTTGCTTTCTAGTGTAATGTTGCCCTGCTTGGGGTGGGCCGCGCTTCCACTGAGTGTCTGCTGCTGGACAGTGTGTCACGGAAGTTTCTTGAATCGCACCCGATAAGTAGCAGCAGATAGCGTCCGGTAGTGCCAAACAGCGCCCACTACTGTGCCGTGATGAAAGATTACCCTATTTTGACGGGTCGGAAGAAGTTCATCCTTCGTCCGCAATGCGAGCACACGTCTGTGCCGCGATGACAGGTTGCCCCATTTGGACGGGTCGGCAAAAGTGCATCCTGCGTCCGCAATGCGAACGCACGTCGCTAGTCGCCCCGTTAGGGACGTGGAGCCTGGTACAATGTTACGGGGAGGTGCCTCGCTTTCGGGGCGGAGTTCGAACCTGGGCTGTCGGGGCGGGGTTCGAACCTGGATCTGGTTCCTTAAATTAAAATTTCATTAAGCCAAACGGGATTGCGGCCCGAAAACGGCAAACCGCGTGGGACATCCTCACAAAATTGGCTCTCAAGACGGTTCGAACTCGGTTCGAAACAATAGAATGCGGTCCGAAACAAAAGCAGAATGAGCGTTTCGCGTGGGGCTTCCCTCAAATTACGGCGTCGGACCCAGTTCGAAACAAAAGGATGGCGGTTCGAAAACGGCAAACCGCGTGGGACATCCTCACAAAATCTGCTGTCCTGATGGTTCGAACTCGGTTCGAAAGAAGGGGATGGCGGTTCGAAAACGGCAAACCGCGTGGGACATCCTCACACAAATTCTTGTTCTCACGGTTCCAACTCGGTTCGAAAGAAGGGGATGGCGGTTCGAAAACGGCAAACCGCGTGGGACACCCTCACAAAAATGGTTGTTCTGACGGTTCCACGTCGGTTCGAAACAATAGCATCGATTTCCAAACGGTTGGAAAACGACCGTTTCGCTTGAGACTTCCTTGAAAATACGTTTGAAGCCCAACGGCCGCGTCGACGACGACGACGACGACGACGACGACGACGACGACGACAATGACGACGACGACGACGACGACGACGGCGGTTACGACGTTTACATGCGCTCTCGCCCGAATGCCGGCCACTCCTTAGTTCTCGCCTCACCGCCGGCCAGTGTCTCGGTCTGGCCGACCGCTCTCTGGGGTGGCGCCTGGAGAGGCCCCCGGTGCGGCGCTGGCCCCCTTCCGGAGGGGGGGACGTGCCGGGGGGAGACACCCGCCCCCCCCCTTCAAGGGGGGGACCCCTTGGGGGGGGATATTGCTGTCACCCCCAAACAGCCACATTTTTGAAAAGGACCCGCCCGTTTGGGCTGCTTCTGCTTGGGCCGGCTGATCTACGCCATTTCCTATTGGAAAACCCATATGTTTTCCACTAGTTATCCGGGTTCCGGCCTTTTCTGCAAAATCGTTTTTTTTTCGACCCCACCCCGGAGGCCGAATCCAACGGGGAAAGCACGACTCATCCGCCCGTTTGGGCTGCTTCTGCTTGGGCCGCCTGATGTACCCCATTTCCTATTGGAAAACCAGTATGTTAGGAAGAGGGAGGATGAGGAAGAGGGAGGAGGACAGGAGGAGGAAGGAGGGAGGAGGGGAAGGGAGTGGGAGGAGGAGGAAGAGGAGGGAAATGATGAGGACGAGGAAGAGGAGGAGTAGGACAGGCGCCGAAGGTTTCGGTGGGGATCGTTCGAAGTAAGATATTGTCTGGGCCAAGTCGTTTTTTTTGGGTTTGACCCCAGCTCCGAAGGCCCAATCCAGCAGTCAAAACATGACCTTCTAGCAGTAAATGCGAGCGTGATCGCAACAGTCTCGATTGCTATCGTAAGTCCAATGCAAATTCGTCCAGGTCGTCCTCGCTGCAACTTTTGGGGCAAGTTGGGGGGAGGAGGGGTGGAAGGATGAGGGAGGAGCTTGCATCGATCAACTTTCAGGCTTTATTGATGTTGTTGTGCTCTGCGTACTTGAGCTGTTTGTCAGCAGTGGTGTTCACTGGCAATGTGGCGTTCACAGGCGGCCGGGTGCTCACACTCACAGTGGTGTTCAGGCGTTGCTGGACTCGGGTAGTGTTGATCCGGCTCCGAGGCCAAATCGAGCAGTCAAGACATGGCCTTCGAGCAGTAAATGCGCGCGTGGTCGCAACAGTCTCGGTTCTTATTGCAAATCCAATACAAGATTATCCAGTTTGTCCTCGCTGCAACATGTAGGACATGTTGGAGAGAGGACGGGTGGAAGGATGAGGGTGGAGCTTGCATCGATGAACTTTCAAGGCTTATCGATGTGGCTGCGCTCTGCGTTCCTGGTGTTCACTAGCAAGAGCTCAGAGTCACATTGGTGCTGAGGCGTTGTTGGACTCAGGCGGTATTGATCCAGCTCAGGCCGAATCCAAGAGGTAAACAACTGTCTTGGAAGAAATGCGCGTGCGGTCGCAGCAGTCTCGATTCCCAGCGCAAATCAAATACAAACTCGTCCAGTGTGTCTCCGCTGCAACTTCAAGTTGGAGGGAGGAGTGGTGGAAGGATAAGGGTGGATCTTGGCGATGTTGTGCCCACAGGCATCTGGGTGCTCACTGTCACTGCGGTGCTCAGGCGCTGCTGCGCCCAAGTAGCACTGATTGTATTTCGGTGCAACCAGCTCCACATCACAACGACACCGATCGAAGCACCCCCTCATGCCACAACAGCGTGTGGATGCATCGTAGCCATTACTTCGGCTATGCTAAAAAAGGGCCAAACTTTAATCACGCCCATGTAGCAACCAATAGCGCCCAAGAACGCCACGTGAGGGAGATGCATTGTGGCCGCGTTACGCGCGATTGGGCGAGCTACTGGGCGCCATGGGGGCTGCCAACAGCTTCCGTGAGTTGCTTTCTAGTTTAGTGTTGCCCTGCTTGGGCTGGGCCGCGCTCCGGTTGAGTGTTTCTGCCCCTTCCCAGGGCCCACGGCCTAATTCCCGTGACATTTTTTGGGGTCCGCCGATCAAGCAGTGGTTATCGGGCCCGCACCCCCCCTCCATCCCCCCCGATGGCCTGACATTCCTTGTCGGTTGCACAGGTCCGAAAGGGGGTGCACAGTACTGGTGCGCGCGGGCATACCTGGGGCTGCCCAAAGCGAGAAGGTTTCGTTATCGGCCGGCACCTCCCCTCCCTGAAAGTCTGGAAGCTTGCCCACAGTTTTAACCAACCACGCGCAGAGGAAAGTAGGGGGAGGGAGAAAGACTCCTTAGAATCACCCCTGCTTCTTAGGAAACCGCTGGCCTTGTTTGTAGATGTAAGGCCGGCGCCTTCTAAGAGGCAGCCTCCTTCTATGAAGCATTCCCTCTCCCCCTTCTCCCTTTTGCAAGCGGCCAATTGAACGGGCAGCGGTGCGAAACCGACGCTGGGCACGGGCAGCGATGGAACCAAGACAACACGAACACAACAGCTCGAACGACTTGTGATGGTTACCAGCTGCTGGAACCACCCAATGGTCGTCACGACGTGAGTCCGCCTACGTACCACATTTTTGAGGCCACGGCCTCCACGCCACGTCCTGATGGGCACGGAGGGGCTCCCCAAGGAAGCGCGCACGACTCCAGCATTCGCCTTCGCCGCCTTCGCCTCCCCCTTCTCCCCCCCCATGGGATCACCCGGGCTCACCGAGCGCGTTCCACTATGCGCAAAGTGCCTACTCGCAAACGTCAGACAAGAAACGCGTTTGCGTCGCTGTACTGGATCGTAAAGCCTCCGCGGCTGATCCAGGCCCTTCGCGAGTAGTGACTTTGCGAGTGCTGGAACGCGCTCGCCCACGGGCTAGCGTTGACAATCTTGGCACCAGAAAAAATAACGTCCCATGGGCGCTCGGCTCGGGCCGGGCAGCGCCTCGTGGGGAGCCTTGAGCAGCACCGGAGGGGCGGGAGCACCTGGGGAGCACCAGCGGCGGGAGCACCCCCGGGGAGCCCCGGGCGCACAGGGAGGCAGGAGCCCTCTGAGGGCGTGGGGTGCCCACCCAAACGTGCTCGAGGAAGGAGGAGGAGGAGGAGGAGGAGGAGGAGGAGGAGGCCTAGGAGGAGGAGGCGGAGGAGGAGGAGGAGGAGGAGGAGGAGGAGTTGGAGGAGGAGGAGGAGGAGGAGGAGGAGGAGGAGGAGGAGGAGTTCCTCCTCTGCTCATCCTCCCTTCTTGTCCTCCTGTTGCTCCCCCAGCTCGTGTCGTCCCCTTTCTGGTCGGTTTCCATGGTGGTCATGATCCTGAGACGTTCCAAGATTTCCCAGGTTTCCAGGATTCCCCACATTCCCTAGGGTGATCCGCACTGGCTGCGCCGCTAAATACCCTGGAAATCCTGGAACGCATCCTGACCCGATCTTATCATGACACCATTCTCGCCCTATTACCCCCCCCCCATCGGCTAGTCCGAGCTATCGCCGACGAGTAAAGCAAGAACTAATGCCTGGGTGGGGCAGTGCGAGCCTCCACGACGCGCCTCCCCGTGCCGAGGGCCCCGGGGATCCCGCCTCGGTGGAGCCACGGCGCACCGCGCCTCGGGGGTCCGAGGGCGTGGGCGGGACCGCGCGTGCTCGGGAGACTGATCTTGAGTGCCTGGCGATAACCCGTGTCGTCGGGCTCACCCCCCCCCCTTTCCGGATAACCACACCTTGTCGGTTGAGCAGGTCCTGACATATCCCTCGGCATGCCCAGACGACGCCCGCACCGTCGCAGCACGAGCATTCGTATCGTCACAGCAGCGTAAGCAGCTTTAGGGTCCGCAGAACTGCGCGGGCATGTGCGGGGCTGCCCACAACGCGAAGGTTAGGTCATCTTGCGCCCCCTCCCCCTAGGATAACCCAGGTTCTCGCCGATCCAAAGGAACAGTCTTCTGTTTCCACGTGGCAATCCCAAGGTGCAGGAACAAGTGAGCGCTGAGACCAGTTTCCCTGGTGGGGCTCGTCGGTCCGCTATTGATCCGCAGACGGCGGCAGTGCGCGAGCGATCTGCAGTCGAGATGCGATGACAATAAAGTCTGGCGACGCGAGTCCTTGTGGCACCCGCGCCCTCTTCATCTCGGCACGATCGGAATGGAGAGTGTTTTTGTTACCCTCTGGGCCATAGCGGGCGTTATGCCCCCCCTCTTCTCCTCCACCCCCATGACGTGATGCTACACTCCCCTGGGTGCGTCCCGGCACTGCCGCAGTGCGTCCGGCACCACAGTCTGTGGTGCTAGACCCACGGTGGGGGGGGGGGGCGTCATCCCCCAGGCGCGGGCATTAGGACCCCCAGCGTAGCTCCAGAAGCACCCTCAAGGAGCTCCAAGGCGGTCCACGAAGTCTCGATACTGGACAATGACGCTCCGACAACTACAAAAATGGCTTCACGACGGCCGCATAAACCCCAAGAGGGCCCTAAGAGGATCTCCCAAAGGGCCCAGGAAGCAAACACCACTGTGCTTGTTCATGCGTTTGGCATGTTTTCGAAGCTTGTCCAGGTTAGGGAGTCCAACAGATTCAGAAGCCCCGTAGGGCTTCCAACATTGCCCGAAGATTGCCCAAGAGGCCTCCAAGAGGGCCCCAAAATGGCCCAAGCAGGCCCCACGACGGTTTACGACGCCCTCAAGACGGCAATAAGGCCGCAAGACAGCCTCAAGACTGTCCCAAGAGAGCTACAAGGCGGTCCACGAAGTCTCTACACGTCCCAAGCACGCTCTAAGACGGCCCCAGATGGCCTCAAGACGGCCCAAGGGGGCCGCCGAGAGGGCCCAAGATGAATCCGACAGGACCCCCATACAGGTGTCCGAGAAACATCATGTATTGATTTCCTCATCGTTTTTCACGGTGTCAAGTGTTCTCCCAGGTTCTGGCCTCCAACAACTTCAGACGCCCCAAGGGGCTCCCAATATTGGCCCAAGAGGCCTCCAAGATGGCGTACGGCCAGGAACTTTGCCTGAAACATGTCTCTCCGCAGTTTCTTGCCCACCAGGCTACCGCACGAGATGCCATCCACGTCCCCATTCCCAAGCGTCCACGTTCCGAGGCTCTCCAAAGCCTCCCGCCCCGCGGAGCGGAGCGACATGCTATCGGCCCGCAAGGCAGAGCGTGTCGTCGGGGCCACCGCGGCGACACGCTGAGCAAGAGTTCCCGACCGTAGCGGACGGTGTTGGAGCGCCGGGGGCCAGATCCGCTCCCCTGCTGCTGCCCGCCGCCCAGAGTCGCCCTTCCGAAGAGGCCCGCCCCGCGCGCAGGGGCTCCTGGTCAGAGCTGCACCTTCTCGCCTCTGCCTCCCGTCCCTTCCCCTCCGCTCTCTCTCTCTCTCTCTCTCTTTCTCTCTTTCTGCCCCCACTCTTCATGCCCTTTTTCTCAGCTGCGCTGAGGGGATGGGCCCAGAGGGGGGCGCATCCACCCCCAATCGCCCACTGATCGCCGATAGGGGCCCGATAGCCTCATCCCGCCCAGGACCGTGCGGATTCGCTATCGGTGGCCTATCGCCGATGAATCGGTGACGTATCGCCGATTCCAGTTCGCTACTCCCCCCCCCGAGCTGGTCCCCCCTATCGTTGCCCCTTCTACACGTAAGGGTGACCCTCCGCTGGAGTGGCCCTTGGTATTGCGTTGCGTTGCGTCGTCGTCGTCGTCGTCGTTGTTGTTGCTTTCGCTGATGGACACGTGCGTTGGCGGCCCGTCCCCCCCCTCCCCCACCGCCCTACCAGCACCGACACCTCCACAGACCCCCAGGGGGGGGGCGAAGGCCTTCCTGGGGTCTGTTGGGGTGCGGGCTCGCACGGGGCCCCCCCGGCACTGGCCTGCGCGCTCGGATCTGGCCTCCCCGCGGCCCCCCAGATCCGCGCGCCAGCGGCCACCTCCTGCTCGGGGCCACTCCTGCGCGTGGTCGACAGGGCCCCAAGTCGGCCAAACAGGACCCCGTGATCGCCCAAGAGGGTCCTGAGAGGGCCCCAAGACAGGCCGAAAGCGCTCCAACAGGGAGCCAAGACGGCCTCCGAACGCGTCAGACGGGCCAAGGGCTCCCCGAGACTGCCCTGAGACTGCCCCAAGAGGCTCGTACTGGAAGCGAGCACTGGCCCGCCAGGCTGCCTTCGCAGCGGCGTGCCGGCGACAAGCTCGGGCGGCGACAGCGTGTCGCGCAGGACGGGGGCCCGCTGCCCGATCCCTCCCCTTCCGCGCGCGAGGTGCGCGGCATGGGCCCCGTGGTCACGGTCGAGCGGCCGATGGAGCCCGGGGCCAGGGGCCCAGTTGTGGCCTTCGGGAGGTGCTCCTGCCCCCCCCCCCGCCCGTGAGATCCTGGCGCTGCAGTCTTGTCACAGCGGGCATGTCCGCCTGGCTTCGAGCCCCGGGGCCATCACGGGGCGATCTGGCTCGAAGATGCGGCATAAAGATAAGGGCCTGGGGCTCCAGTCGTGTTTTTTCGCTACGCATTCTTTTCGCGGCGTCGGATCTCAGGACCCCGTCTTTCCTCCTCGGCGTCCTCCCCCTCCTCCTCCTCCTCCTCATCCTCCTTTCCATCGCCATCCTTCACCACTTCTCCTCCACCTCCCCCCCACCACCGTCTCCTCTTGCTTCCTCCTCTTTCACTAGGCCTCCTAGATGGGGTCCGCGTAGATGGGGTCGGAGGATCGCTCCGCATCGCCGATGCGGCTCGATGCGGACCCCGATTTTCTCTACGCCGACGTCGCCGATGCGTCGCCGACGTCGACGATGCTTCGACGATGCATCGGCGATGCATTGTCGATGCGCCGCGATCCTCCGACCCTATCTACTCCGACCCCATCCAAAAGGAGACTGTGGACAAGGGGCTTGAAACGTCGGCGGGGCAGCAACAACATGACATGGCTCCCCAGGGACGGCGAGGTCCCGCTCAGGTCCGCGCAGTGCCTCACTCCGCTGGACCCACCAGCAGCCTTCGAAAGTGGCGAGCCCACCAGCAGCCCTCGAAAGTGGCGACACTTTCGCAGATCGCAGCCCCCCAGTGACGGCGAGGTCTCGCTCAGGTCTGCGCGGTGCCTCACTCCGCTGGACTCACCAGCAGCCCTCGAAAGTGGCGACAGGTTCGCAGATCGCAGCCTCCCAAGGACGGCGAGGCCTCTCTCAGGTCTGCGCGGTGCCTCACTCCAATGGACCCACCAGGAGCCCTCGAAAGTGTCGACAGCTTCGCAGATTGCAGCCCCCCCCAGGGACAGCGAGGTCTCGCGGGAGACCGGAGGCAGGAGGCGGGAGACAGGAGGACGCTACCGCAGTGCTCTATTCAAAACGAATACCCAACCAAGGAGGGTCGGGAAAAGAACGCCCCTAAGAGATGGCAGCAATTTTGGTTTCAAGGCTTCTGGAATCGGCCACGTGGTCCTCGGAAGTCCCGACCCTTTCCGCAGGGTTGGCTTCTCATCTCGAGTCGTTTTCGGACGGTCTCCGGACCCCGCGAGGGCCCGCAGAGGCCGAGAACGGTCAAGCACCGCCCATCGTGATTTTTGTCCCAGCGCGAGGGGGCCTCGGACACCAGCAAGCGGGCTGGCAGAACAGCAATTGGCGGCTCTGCCTCGGGTGACCCATGGGGGGGACGGAATGAGTCATGGGTGCGTGTTGTCGGATGGGAGCTTCCCCAGGGATCCGACAACCCGCGCCCACACACATAGCCAGTCCTTCCCCTTCCGACCTCCCAATAGGTGTGTGTTGTTCGTTCGTCATCGGGGGGGGGGGGAAGGCCGGCTTGCTCCCTGGCCGCCCGACCCGGCGAGCCGTGCTTGTTGTGCACCTTTCCCGGTCTGCGAGGTCGCTGCTTGGCGTGCCGTGCCTGTTGGGCACCGCTCCCTGTCCGCGCGTTTGTTGCAGCTCGCCGCCAGGGGCTGATTTTTGCGTTTTTTGCACTGCGTGGCAAGACAGAGCCAGACTGCCCTTCGGGTTAGTAGGAGGCTTTGTGGGGGATTAACATCATCTCTGATTTGCATCGGACGCGCAGCTGAATGCATGCGTTGACGCATAGCAGGACATCAGCATGGATTTGTATACAGGTATGTGCTCACATATCTGTCTACATGCCCATCTGGTATATCAACATGTTTCTGCACATGTATATAGATGCCTCTATCTACCTAGTATATCGATACATATATATATAGATAAATGTGTACATATACATATATGTAGCTGTGTGTACTTGTATGTCTCCATAGTTATCTGGTTGATGTACGTATCATTGTCTCTCCATGTGCCTCCTTCGATCTCTATCGGAGGTTGGGAAGGGGTGAGACCGAAGTGAAGTGTGAGGTGCCCCAACTGGGGAATTCGTTTCGTGTCGTGTGTCGCGCACTTGACGGCGGGGCGAAGACGCGCGAGCTCATCCACTGGTGGGGGCCACGTCACACTCCCATGAGTCGCCCCGTCCGCGGTCCGTGGCCCCTGGTGGCTCCCGGTTGTCCTGCTGTTTGCCCCGATCGATTGTTGTGCCGATGTTGTTTGGGGTACTCGGTTCCTCTTCTCTCCCCCCCTCCGTCCGCGAAAGAGAGAGAGAGAGAGAGCCAATGCCAATGTGCTTGTTTCGCCTCCATGTCGTGCGGTGACGGAGGCTAGGGCCGGCCGCTGTCAGAGGCCTTGGAGGTTCAATTGGTGTCTGGGGCTAGCCGCTGGCCGAGGGACGGAAGCCAGCGCCGGACCGAGGCCAAGAAGAGCAAGACAGCGAAGCCAGAGATGGTGGCCCCGCGGCCCCCCCGCAGTAGGGGCCAGGTGGGGCAGCGGATAGCAAGGGGAGGCAAGGGGGTGGTGACGGCGAAGGGGGCAGGATCTTGCAGGGAGGCTTTGGATTTGGATGAGGAAGGCAGGGAGGCACTAGAGGGGGTGGCTTCAGGGAGGGAGGAGGGATAAGTGGGCAGCCATGGACGAGGAGCTCTTCACAAACATATGGAACAAGTTTGAGCTCAACACAAGTGTGCCAGGGTTCTCGGATTTCCGCGCGCGCGCACTTCCTCAACATCACCCTCACCAGCGCCGCCGCATCACGTCATCGTCATCGACAATCGCCGCAGTTGCCGCCATCATCACTTGAGCACCTTCATCCGACACATGTACCCCATCATCGTCATCGACGTTACCAACATCGGCGCCGCCATTTGCCTTGCCGTCGTCATCGTCATCATCACCACCACAACCGCTAGTATTATCATGGTCGCCGCCGCTGTCGACGTCATCATGATACCACGCCCGCTTGAGCCACTGACCCGAATAGAAGTGCCCGCGCGCCAGCGCGGCCTCCGACACGCGATGGGGCTTTGCCATCGATAAGCGCCACCGCAGCCGCATCGTTTATGCCAAACCAGCTGGCCGCTGTGCGCGCGAGCTCTCGCGCGCCAGCGCGGCCGCAGCGATGCGCCAGCCAAGGCCAAGCAGTCATCGCAATCGCCGCCGCATGGGTTTTGTAAACCAAGTTGCGGGTGGGAATGTGGGATGATTGCGCGAGCAGTGGAGTTGACAACTCATGAGTTGGAAGAAACGAAGCGCACCACAGCTTGCATCACATAGCTTGCACCACGCAGCATCGAGTGCACAGCTTGCACGACAAATAGTTTGCACCGCATACCTTGCACCACATACCCTACACCGCACAGCTTACACCACATAGCCTGCACCACACAGCTTGCGCCACATAGCTCGCCCATCACACATTCCCTCCACATAGCAAGCGTACACCACATAGCTTGCACTACATGGCTAAACACATCCACAGTGCAGTAACGTACGGCTTGGGATTCACGCTGGCGGACATTGTATCCCTACGTAATCGTATATCGTTGTAGGGCGGGAGGGCGCCAGTCGTGTGGGCTAAGCGCTCAAGAATTGCGGCCGTCCAAGACCTTGGACGCCTTTACACAGCGCTTCCCGGTCCTTTCGTTCCTCCTAGGCTCAGGCGGACGGCAACAGGGAGGACAGCATACGCGAGGACATCGGGGGTTGTAGGGAAGTGGCCATGAAGGGGCCCCTGAACTGTCATGGCGTGCGCAAGAGGTGCACGCAAGGCGCACGTTTTTTCACCCCACGCTCATTGCCCCCCGTTAGCGAACACCCGATGGACGCCCGAGCTGGGCGACAGGTGGGCAAGATGTCGCCCAGGTCTTACTCACAGGCTCACAGCAGAGCGCCAGGCGGAGGCAAGGACCGCCCAGGATGCTTTTAGGAGTCTCAAAAGCTCCCAAAAGAGCCCAGCAACAGAGAACTTCTGTCCTGAAGCTTGATGTTTTCGACGCGGTTTGCTTCTCCAGCTGTTCGGCCCAATGTGGCTCCAGTAGGGTTGCAGAAAAGCTCCGAAGAGTCCAAAATGATTCCAAATGAGCTCCGAGACGGCCCATGAAGGCCCCAAGATATTATCGAGATGGTCCAGGAGGCCCTCAGGAGAAGCCCAAGAGGGTAAAGATATTGCCGCAGAGGGAAGGGCAAGAGGCCCCAAAGAGAAGGGTCGGAAGCTCCGAAAACGGCCCCAAAGAGCCTCACAGGACCCTTATGAGGCTCTGAGGCTTGAAATGCGCCCCGGAGACCCGAGAGGTCATCCAAGACGGCCCAGAGAGCCCCATGAGAGCCCGAAGAAGAGGAGAAGGAGAGAGAAAAGGGGAACGAGGGGAGGGAGGAAGGAGGAATGCAGATGCCTTGATCAGGGAAGTGAGCAGCACACAGAGGAATTGCCCAGAAACGATGCCCAGAGGAATTGCCTCGATCAGGGAAGTGGGCAGCACACAGAGGAAGCCATGATGAGACATCTTGGGATATCTTGAGCCATCTTGGAGGTCATGTTGGGCTCTCCCAGGCGCTCTTGGAGCCGTCAGTAAGAGGCCAATATGCAGCTAAAACATAAGTAACATCAGTGATGCGGCATTCTCGCCGAGGCCTCTTGGAGCATCTTGGGTGCCTCTGGGGGGTCTCTTGGGGCCTCTTGGGGGTCTCTTGGGGGCCTCCTCGGGGTTTCTTAGGAGCCTCTTGGGGCCATCTTGGGGCCTCTTGGGACCTCTTGGGCGCTTCTTGGGGCAATCTTGGAGGAGATCGATCAAACAAGAGGGGGGGTCACAATTAGGCCCCCCCTCAGAAGGCCAAAATGGGGCCAAAACCTTAGTACATGATTTTGGCTTCCTCGCCGAGGCCGTTTTGGACGCCCTGACACCTCGCGACACCCCCGTCCAGGTCCAGGGGAGGGGGTAGGGGGAGGGGTAAACCCCTCCCCGAAGGGGAAGAAGGAGGGGTGGAAGAGGAAACTCACGCCCAGAGGGCTGGCGGGATTCGGGCGAGCAAGTCTACGGGGGGGGGGCAGGATGAGGAGGAGGAGGAGGAGAAGGAGGAGGAGGACTTTGAGAAAGAGGAGCGGACGCGCAGAAAGGGGAGGAGAAACGAGAACGAGAGAGTCAGACCCAGGCGCGGCCGCCCCGCGGCACCGCACGCTCTCGGCCGCGCCCCCTCTACTGCGCGGTTCCCTCACACTCCTTCCGAAGCCGTGCGAGGAAGCCACTCTCGGGGTCCGCGTGCAAGCGCCAGGCCTGCTCGAGCTTCTCATTCAGCGCGATGTCGTGCTGAACCAGTTCGTGCTCAGCCTCCTGCGCAACCCGTTGAGCCTGCTCCTTCCTCGCCCGCCTGCGCGCCGACTTGCTCATGAGTGCCTTGGCGGACTCGGGGCGGCTAGACTCCGTGCCCTCGGCCTCGTCCTGAGGCTCCTCGTCCTGCAGGCGCTCATCCTGAGGGCGTAGACAGTCGGTGTGGAGCGACTTGATCTCCACGATCTGCTCTGCCGTAGCCCACTTCAGGGCTTCTCGGTCCGCCTGCGCGCCCATCTCGACCATACTGTCAACGAACCCATCAATCTCGCACGCGTCCAGATCGCCGCCAGACACCTCGGGCGTGTCGAAGTCCTTCTGGTCGCACTCCGTGCTGCACTCCTTGCTCTCACAGACGCTGGGGTCATTGTCTGGAGCCTGCACGGTGCCGACGAAACCGCCCGCTGAGTCCTGCACGAACTCCTCGACCTCCACGTCCATGTGCACCTCTGCAGCCGCGGCGCCCGTGGCCTCGGCCCCCGCGCTGCCCTCCCCTCCATCTGACGAGGGCGCGGCTCCCGTACCCTGCGCATGCGCACCATGGTGTGCCGCAGCGGAGGCCTCAGGCTGCTCGTACTGCCTCGTGTCTTGCCGCGCCCACCTCCCGCTGAAGCCATCGGTGATGTCGGGCGTTACAGCGCCAGGGAGGCCGAGGGGGACAGAGACGGCCCCTGCGCCCGCATCACCCCCAGGGCAGCCGCCTCAGCCTCGCCCGCGGACGCCGCGCGCCCCTCCAGTCGGGGTCCCCGCTGGGCACGGCGCAGCTCGGCCGTTCCCGCCGCCAAGGTGTCCACGCCCTGCGCGTCGGCGTGGAGGGCGGCGTTGCGCCACAGGCGCTCCGGCCATGTTGGGGCCTTCCCTCCCAGCTTGGCCTGCAGCGTTGGGAGCATCGCCTGCAGCCTCTGCGCGGCCTCTCAGTCGCCGATGACGGCGCACAGGGCCTCTTTCGCAGCTTCCTGGCGAGCTCTAGCCCTGGCCAGCTCGCCCGAAAGCCGCAGGACGGCGTCGTCAGCTGACCATCTCGCCCATTCTCGGCCCGGCCCCGCGCGCTGGGCCGCCGATCGCCTTGGCGCGCCCTCCGCGCAGGTGAGGCCGGAGGGAGGAGGAGGAGGAGGAGGAGGAGGAGGAGGAGGAGGAGGAGGAGGAGGAGGAGGAGGAGAAGGAGGGGGGGGAGGGGGAGGAGGAGGAGGGGGGGAGGGGGGGGGGAGGAGGACAAGCTATGTGCGCTCGCGTCATATCTGACGTCCTACCCCTCCCTCCCATCCCTTACCATGGCGCTGATTTTCTCTATCCGCGGACGCGTGTCGTAGCGGACCTGTGGCTCCGCGCGCGCGTGCGTAGTGGGTGGTGGTGCGTGTGCGTGCGTGCGTGTGTGTCTGCGTGGTTGTGGTTGTGGTTGTGGTGGTGGTGGTGGTGGTGGTGGTGGTGGTGGTGGTGGTGGTGGTGGTGTGTGTGTGTGCGTGTGTGCGCGTGTGCTGTGGTGTGACGTGGTGTGGCGTCTTGGTGGTTTGGTGGTGGGCCAGGTGCGTGCGTGCGTGATGGCGGTGGTGGTGGTGGTGGTGGTGGCGGTGGTGGTGGTGTGTGTGTGTGTGTGCGTGTGTGTGTGTGTGTGTGCGTGTGTGTATGTGTGTGTGTGGGTGGGTGGGTGGGTGCGTGCGTGCGTGCGTGCGTGCGTGCGTGCGTGCGTGCGTGTGTGTCTGTGTGCGCGCGCGTGTGATGTGGTGTGACGCGGTGTAGCGTGGTGGTGGTGGTGGGTGGGGTAGTGGGGTGGTGGTGGCGGTGCGCGGTGGTGGTGCGCGTTCGTGCGTGCGTGAGTGCGTTGGTGGGTGGAAGTGGCGGTGGGCGGGGCGGGGCGCGGTGCGGTGGTGGCGGGCGGATGGGCGCTCGAGAAAGAGGCCCGCGCTGGGGCGAGAACGCCATCCTGAACGACGGAGGCAAAACACCGATCCGAAAATGAGGCCCACGCTGCAGCGGGAGCACGATTCGGAACGAGCAGAAGCCCGAAAATGAGGCCGGCGCCTCAGCGAGAGCAGCATTTTGAAAAAACCAAGCGAAAACCCAACTCTGGGAAATCCTGGGGAAAAAAAAACAGTACGCGGAGGGGTGCCCGCTAGCTTCCGCACGCCATCAGGGGATAGAAGAGAGTGTATTCATATTGAGTAATTGTGGATCGGGTCCCTTCCGTTTTTTTGACGTATTGCTGTCGCCTCCCTTGTCTATATGGTTGCTCTCTCGCCGTTCCTCCCATCATCCTTGCTCCCTCCCCCCTCGTGCCTCCTACCCCCCCTTTACTCTCCCCATCCTGCTTTTGTGCCCCATCCCTTCTCCCTCTCTCATCTCCTGTCCCGTTGTACTTTGCCTTGTATTTCCTCGTTGCTCATGCCTTCTCCGTCCGTCATCCTTCGTTTCCTCCTCAACCTCCCCATTCTCCATCGTTTCACCACGAACCCTGTGCTTGGCCAGGGCCTAAGAGGGGGAAAAAGCGCACGTGGCTCCAGCGCGTAGATGTAATCAGATATGGACGAGACACTCGTCCACATGCACGCGTATATTGCGTTTCTTCCTCCCCCACTTCCTTCTGTGCCCTCCTCGCCGGTGCCCTCGTTGGGCGATACCTCCCCGCAAAACATCACCGCACGGGGATTCGTCAGCGAATTCCCGCTGAGTAGCCACATCTGGCTGGAACGGTGTCAAGGGGTGCGCCCACAAAGAAGTTCTCCCAAATTGTACGCGTGGCTCCAAACTGACAGCTCAGTGCAAAGCCATGAGTCTCCTGAAGGTCCTGAGTAGGCCCAGTCCCCAGCAGAGGTTGCCACTGGCAATCTGCTGTTATCGCGTCATATGTGCCCCTGCCCCCGCGCATGGAGATGCCATTTGTTGATGCCACTGCGCTTGCAGTCGGAGCTGCTACCAGGGATGTCGCCATTGTCGCTACGCTCTCTATGAAGACGTGGCATTGCGCCCCACCGACTTGAACTGGCCCCACCCTTGACTGATTCTCTCCCGTACTTTACCTGTCGTCGTTCCCTCTCCCCATCGTCCCCTCGAGGTGGACCTCAAGCCTCCAGAAACGGTCAACCTGGAGCTCTTCCTGCTGGACTCTGTCATCAGGGACTTCGTGAACAGCCGCGTGGCGGTAAAGGCCAGCATCTCGGCAATACAGAGAGGTTCCTTCCAGCTGCGCCGCCTCGACTATCCGCCACCGCGCCTGTGCAGCTTGGCACGGCGATGGCCTCGCACGCGTGTCGCGATGCCTCTGGGGGCCCGTTGCGCAGATTTCTCAGGACTCCTGGCGGCTTCCGCCGGGGCGGTATTCAGGGGCTCTTTGGGGGCCGCCGCGCTGGGTTCTTTTCGGCTGCACGCAAGAGTCGCCCTTCGCGTTGCTTTCGGGCAGCTCAGGGGGCCCAAGCTTGTACACGCAGGCTGCTACCGTCGCACCACACGCAGCGGTTGGCAAGCCGCGCACCAAAGGTCACTCTTGCTTAAGGTCACTCTAGCGTGCAGCCGATCTTTGGGGCCGTATTGGGCCAAGGCCCTCCTTGGACCTCAGGGGCAACGTTACTGGGGAATGGGCTCAGGGGGGATGCATCGACCCCCAACCGCCCATTCATCGCCGATGGGGGCCTGATAGCCCCACCCCGCTCAGGAACGTGTGGATTCGCTATCGGGAGCCCATCGCCGATCTATCGGCGACGTGTCGCCGAGTCCGGGTCGACGTTCCCCATCCCCCCGAGGAGGTTCCGTCGTAATTAACGTTGCCCTTCAGGACCGTCTTGGGCTTATCTTCGGCGGCCTTCGGGGGAGGGGGGGCCCTCAGCCTCGTCTTGAGGGCCTTCGAGGGGTATCCTGGACCGCCAAGGCGTCGCCCAGGGAGTGCCAGAGATCGTCCTGAGGCCAATCATAAGTAATTTTCAAGTTGAGAAGCCTGGTCGGCAAGACAAAAGCAAACACACACACACACACACACACACACACACACACACACACGCACACGCACACGCACACGCACACACACACACACGCAATTTGAGTTTCAACATCCTTCCCACCTATCCTGTGGTATCGGGTTTTCGTTTTGAATCTGCAGCACCCCGTGTCCCGCATCAATTCCCCTCCTCCGCTCCCCCTACAATTGCGTTCCGCGTGTTTACTTCGGCGCACCCCTCACACGTTGCGTGGCTCCACATTGAGCCCAACCGACGGCTTTAGTGGCAGGGTATTGAATGAGACCCCCTCGCCCGTTTCGGCAACCCCCTCTCACGGCTCGTGACCCCACAGTGAGTTCCACTGAAGGCCTCAGTGACAGGGTATCGCATGCGGCCGCCCGAAACTTGTGGCACACCCCTCACACGTTCCGTGGCGCCGCAGGGAGCTCCACCGAAGGTTTCAGTGCAGGGTATCACATGTGGTCACCCTGGCCATCTCGGCATACTCATCGCACGCTTCGTGGCCTAATTGGGAGCTCCGCCGAAGGGGTCAGTGACAGGGTATCGCATGCGGTTACCCGAAACCTTGGGCAACCCCCTCTCACGTTTTGTGGCGTTGTAGGGAGCTCCACCGAAGGCTTCAGTGGCAGGGTATCGCATGTGGTCACCCCGCGCATCTCTGCACACTCCTCGCACGTTTCGTGGCCCCACAGGGAACTCAACCGACGGCTTCAGTGGCAGGGTATCACATGTGGTCACCCTGGCCATCTCGGCATACTCCTCGCACACTTCGTGGCCCAATTGGGAGCTCCACCGAAGGGGTCAGAGACAGGGTATCGCATGCGGCCACTCGAATCTTTTGGCACACCCCTCACACGTGTCGTGGCGCCGCAGGGGGCTCCACAGAAGGCTTCAGTGGCAGGGTATCGCATGCGCCCCCTGTCCACGACGGCACACTCCTCGCACGTTTCGTGGCCCCACATGGAACTCCACCGAAGGCTTGAGTGGTCGGGTATCGCATGCGGCCCCCCCGCCCTTGCTCGCACACTATTTGCACGCTTCGTGGCCCAATTGGGAGCTCTACCGAGGGCATCAGCAGCAGGGTACCACATGCGGTCACCCCCCCTCATTTCGGCAGACCCTTCACACGCTTCGTGGCCCCACAGGAAGCTGCACCGAAGGCCTCAGTGACAATATATTACATGCGGCCCCCCACTCCTCACACGTGTCGTGGCCAAATTAGGAGCTTCACCGAAGACTTCAGTGGCAGGGTATCGCATGGTGTCCCCCCGCGCGTCGTGGCCCTACGAGAAGCTCCACCGAAGGGCTCAATGGCGTGAGACTGCATGCAGTTCTCCCGCTCATTTCGGCACACCCCTCACACGTTTCGTGGCCCCGTATGGAGCTCCACTGAGGGTCTCATGCGGTCCCCCAGCCCATGTCGGCACGCTCCTCACAAGTTTGGTGACCCAACATGGACGTCCACCGAATGCTTCAGTGGCAGGGTATCGCATGCGCCCCCCTCGCCCATTCCGGCACATCCCTAAAACGTTCCGTGGCCCCGCAGAGAGGTCCACCAAATGCCTCCGTGGCGAGGCATTGCATACGGTTCCTCCGTCCATTTTTGGCACACCTCTCACACGTTTCTTGGTGGCCCTGCACGGAGCTTCACCGAGGGTCTCCTGTGGTCACCTCGCCCATGTCGGTACACTCCTGACAAGTTTCGTGGTCAAACATGGACGTCCACCGAATGCTTCAGTTGCAGGGTCTCGCATGCGTCCTCCTCGCCTATTTCGGCACTGCCGACGTCACGTTCCTTTCTGAAGCTAACCCCTACGTCCCGCTGGGGGGGGGGGGCAGGAGTTCGGTGAGCAAGCGTTGACCAGAATCTCACACTGACCCTAAACTGAACTCTGGAGGTCAGGTTGGAGCAGGGGCTGAGCAGAGCGACGCCGCCCCTCCCAGGCCGAGGAGGGTGGGCGCCCCGCGGGCAGCCCCTCGAGCAGCGACGACGGGGCCAACGCGGAAGCCCTGGCCGACTTGTCGTTGCTGTTTGAGGCGCGTCTCGTCTCGCGATCGCCGCCGCTCCGCTCGCCGCGACAGCACCAGGCTGGTGCCTCTGCTTCATCTCTCTTGCTCTCCCTTTCTTTTTTTTCTCTTTCTGGTTCTTTCTCTCTCTCTCTCTCTATCTCTCTCTCTCTCTCTCTCTATATATATATATATAGATCTATTTATCTATGTCTATCTCTTTGTCTATGTCTATGTCATGTCTGTCTCCCTCTCTCTCGCGAAGACCAGCCTTGGGATGCGTGCCTCAAGGCCCTTGCGGCAGCCCGAGCGCGGTGATGTTGGTGGCCCAGGCGTGTCGCGGTTTTCGACGTTTGCCGCATAGGCTCCCTGTGCAGCCAGTGCTAGTTCGTTCCAGGATCAGCGAGTCCGGCGTGCATGACGGCTGCCAGCTGCCGAATGAAGGTCAGGGTTGTCGTTGTGCAGGAGTGCGTGCTCAACGTGCGTCCGAGTGCACCGCGCTCGGGAGCAGTAAGATGCCTTGCGACTGTCTGCAAGTACGTCGTGGACAGCTAATAGGCGTTGGTTTCGACATCGCCATGACGAGTCCCATAGGTAAGCACTGGTCATGAGACGCGATCCCGCAGATACGCGATCGCATGGATACATTCCGCACAGGGCATCCACGAACAAAAACGCTCCGTATCCGCGAGGTCGCGTCCAGGGGGTCTGGCCCGCGAGGCCGTGGATACGGAGATGTTTTCCACACGCGAACTGGACGGACTGTGAATTGCATAATGAGGTGCCGGATGCCAGGAGCAACAATCAGATGTTCCAACCGAAGCTTTGGAGGATGGCGAGTGCACCAGACTGTGACTGCACGGGGAGTGGTGTACCCCTGACAACTAGAGACGTGATTGGTGCGCGGTCAAGCCTCGACTGAGAGTGAAGTGCCTCAATGCACAGTGCGTGACATGCGGGGGGGGTGCGTGGAGAGACCCGTCCTCGCGCACGCCATGGCAAGGGGTATCACGACTCAAGGCGGATTGCCCTACCAGATTTTTGGCGGTTTATGGGTGGCACACAGGCGCACCCAGCAGCGTCTTACGCTCTATCTGCCATGAGCTCGGCAGCAATCGACTCCGCATCAATTCTAACTCGATTTCTTGTTCGTGATTCTCATGATGTTGCTGCGTTTGGTGCCGCTGATCATGCTGTTGCTATGTACAAGTCTCTCCCTCATTATCCATTGTTTGATTGATTAGTTCGTGACTTTCGGTTTGGTGTACCGCTCCTGATCATGTTGTGTTGCAGTGCAGTTCGTTGTCCATCCTTCGTTCGCCACTGGCCCAGCGCGAAGGCGGTGTTGCTGCTAAGTACAGGAGAGTCCCTCAGCATGTGGGGCAAGCTCAAGCTCGAGAAGGACACCAAGATCGCCAAGGACGCGAAGAGGCGCCAGCCAGCTTCCAAAGGGAGGCAGCTCTTATCACGCCCCTTCTCCCCCTTAACACTCCTACTGAGTACCTTCTCCTGCCCAGGCATATTCCCACGGGCTTGGGCCTCGGGTCCACAATGGAGACCGATGGGAAGAAGGCTGACTTCTCCTCTGCGAAGTAAGAGCGCAGGATAACTCGGAGAGGAGAGGTCATTTCCAAGACGGGGGTAACATCACGAGACCGTGAACATGTCTCCACGTAAGAGGAGGGCGGCCCGAGGGGGAAACTGAGGTACACCACTCATAAATACTGAGGGAAAGCATCAACTGTCATGGACTCCTGAGCTCGTTTGAGAAATCAAGAGCCTGGACTTGCGACCCTGGTCATGGCGTCTGCCAGTGGATCGCCAGAGCGCGAGTCGTCCCACCGGTGGATGGGGCGTATCTCTGCGCACGGGTCGCGTGTCTCCGAGGAGGGCGAGTTAAGGCAACGGTAGATGGCCTTTGGGGCACGGCTGGACGCTGCTCGGAAGCCTGGTGCGTTTGGACCCCGAAGGATCCGGGTCCGACGTTACGCTGCCGTTGTCTCAATTCGCCCTGCTCCGAGTATCACCAGACGGGGCTAGGACGAGGATAATTCCGTTCCAGAGCGTGTTGGAACGCTCTCAGGGCGTTCCAGAACGCTCTGAGAAGGCCGCGGCGCCCGAGGTATCCTCCAGTACCGCCGGATCTCAGAGACTCGATTTATCCTTGCCCGATTTGATCTTTGCGTGCTGTCGCAGGCACCTGGCCGCCTGAGAAGGGGCAGGCCCCGGCAGAGGATGGTAAGCAGATTTTTCGAAATTCGGGTCGGAACTTTTCTGGAAAGCAGCGGTGCGCAAGTACATTGTCTGGCGCACGCTCGTGTCATTGCTCATGTGCCTTCGGACACGCGGATTCATTATGTCAGTGCGCGAGAGGCGACGAGAGCCATGTCCGTCTCGACCGAGATCTTGCGCAGCCTCGGGCCCCTGGCTGCGAGCGAAGCCTTCCCCCCCTGGCGCTCGGTCCACTTCTGGCCCTCTCCCGCGACCGCTGCGTCGAAAGTGCAGGCTGCGTCCGCGAGGAGCCGGGCCGATGTCGCGCGCGCGAGGTAGGCCATTCGACTACACGTAAGAGTGACCTTCCGCCAGAGTGACCTTTGGTGCAGGCCCAAAGTTGTCCCCCGATTGCCGAACGCGGCGCGGTAGTAGCGGCTTGCGCGCTTGTGTTTGACCCCCCCCCGCGGCCCCCAAAAAGTCGCGCACCACAGGTCACTCTTACCCAGGTTCACTCTTGGCGTGCAGTCGAGCCATCTGGCCTGCGTTCCCCGGCTGAGCCAGCAGGTGCTGAGTGGCCTGCAGGTTCTGAAGCTCGGCCAGGAACTGGATGATGCCCCGCTGCTTCTGCACCCTCCTCCCGCAGAAAGCCTGCAGAGAGCCTCGTCGCCCACCAGGGACTCTGAGCACCTCGCAGTTGCCCCCTGCCGTAGGACATCGCAGCCCTGAGTTACGAGCGGGGCAGAGTCCACCGCGGGGGCCGGCGCAGGCAGCAGCTGCAGCGTCCAGCCGTCTAGCGAGCGCGTGGGGCAAGCTCAGGCTTGAGAAGGATGCCGCAGTCGCCAAGGACGCGAGAAAGTGCCAGCCAGCTTGTAAAGGGCGAGGGCTCTTATCACGCCCCTCTCCTTGTGTCGGGGGTTCAGAGAGGGGTTGCGGGGGGATAGGGCCGTAGGAATGTGACGGGGCCTTCAGGTTGAACTTGCACTGTTCAGGGCCTCCTCGTCCGAGGGCCCCGTGTTTCAGGGCCCCATCTTTGAGGTGCCGACCTCAACAGATTCCCCTGGCCAGGCACCAGCCCTCGGGAGTGGTCCTCGTGCCCGCAATCGACCCCAGTAGAAAGAAGGTGGCCTTCTCCCCCTAAGATGTAAGAGCGCAGGATCGTTTTCAAGAGAAGAGGGTCATCCTGGATGTTGGGGGACAACGCTAAGAGACCGTGCGCATGTCCCCGAAAAAAGAGGAGGACGACCCGAGGGGGGGCTGAGGTAGATGCGCCACAGGGGAGAACGGCGGACGGCAACCTTTCACTTGTCTCACACACCCGCGGCTTTGACCCAATGCCAATCGGCAGAACAGGAACAACGAATTCCCCGTATGAGCACAGCAAAGATCAACATGCACCCCCCCGTATTAAAAGAGGGGGGACGAGGAACAGGAAAGGGGGGGAGGGGGAGCGAGGGGAGGGAGAGGAAGGTGACGGGAGGGAGAGGGAGGGAGGGAGAGGAAGGGGAAGGAAGGGGAGGGAGAGGGAGAGGAAGGGGGAAGGAGGGGAGCACCAGGATTCGCAGCATTGGCGCAACCAGGCTCCATGAGCGCGAGGAAGTCCAAACACAGGGCAGCCTCAGGCGTCGAGCCTGGGCCGCCCTCGGCCGAGAAACGGCAAAAACAGGGGGGCGCCCCGTGCCGCGGGGGCACCCGGCGGACCCAGCAGCCTCCACTAATAGGGCAGCCAGGGGCGACGAAGCCCCACAGCGGTGCGGGCCGCACTGGATGCGCCGTGCGGCGCACCGCCTTGGGGGCCAGGGGGGACCCCATGCGACAGCAGACGGGCCCCCGCTTCCCGCACCCCTCGCGCTCTCGGCGCTGGCGAGGGATGCTTTCGCGCCGCGACTGCGGGCGTGTGGGCCCGCCTTCGCGCGCTGCACCCATCGCACCCTCGGAGCAGGCGATGGGTGGCGCCTGGCAGGCCTGAGCCAGCCCGTCCCCCGAGGGAACCCAAGTGGGAAGAGGGACACCAAACAGGACGAGCCCAGGGACCCCGAACTAGGGGGCCTGGCAGCGAGGGGCATCCCGAGCCCGCCCCACCCAATACCCCACCCCTGCCCAGGGGAGGGACCCCCAGGGGGCCTGGGCGCCCAAGCCCCTCCGCCGCCCTCCTCCAGTCCTGCGGTTGGTCGCCAGCTCCATTGGTACCCCTCCGATGCAGGCGGCGTCGACCACTTTGGGTTCCCTGGCTGTCCCGGCGTGCTCACTGGGCCCCCAGGTTATGCAGGGGGGGAAGGGAAAGGAAGAGGAGGGGAGAGGAAGGGTGGGGAGGGGAGAGGAAGGGGGGAAGGGAGGGGAAGGAGGACCGACGCTCCTCCTGTTCGTCCTCCCTTTCTGCCACGCCCCTGCGGCACCTCCCCGCCTCTCGCCTCCATTGCTCCCGCTCCCCCGCGCCCCTCCATAGCCACGTTGGGTCACGTGTTCTCTTGGTGAGCCTCTGCGATCAGGAGGGAAACATCTAGACCGACACAGCTAATCGTTGATCTTCAATGATAGTATGAGGGTAATCTGTGAGATGGATGGGGAGGACGAGAAACCAGACAACATGTAATAACGCATTGAATGATTGATGTTGTGTTTATTTATGTGTGTCCCCATGGACCCCCTCTATTGAGTCAGGATTCGAAGGGGCAGTACAGCCAAGACGCTGAAACAAGGACCGCTGTGGGTTCGGAAGGGGCTCGCTGTTCCTCAGGTCATTCCGTGGTTGTTCCTCTGGCCCTCCTCGGGCCCTGAGGCTCTTCTGGGTGCCAGAAAGGAGCGTCGTTCCTTCGGTAGCGTGCTCTATTCCACCAGGCCAACTGTAGTTCGACGAAAGAAATCCCACGGGCATAAACTGTCGAAGGTCCTCGCGGATTTCTTGGATCGTAGCTGGGCGCCCTTCCATGGCGCGCGGAGCGCGCCTGGGGTGGCGCCAGTGGCGCCGCCAGAGGGGTCCGGCGCCGATCCAAGAAATCCGCGCGGACCTCTGACAGTTCATGTTGATATCGTATGTATTTGACTCCTGCCCCGCGCGTTCCGTACACCAGCTAAACGTTCTCGAAGCGGGGCGGCGCGCCCTCTGACATCGTAGGCGACGCTCTAGGGCTGGAGCGCGACCGTCGAGTTCGGAGAGTACGGGGTGCATCGCGGGCGAGGTGACGCAGGCGATTCTCTACTCGGCCAGGTGATGGGAGAGCGCTGAACCGGAGCTCCGAAACCAGATTCCGCTTCCTCGCGGCCGAATTTGAGGGCAACTTTGCCAAGCCCATGTAGCTTCAGCAGCAGGTTGCGCTCACACATGCCAGCCAGTAGGGGCAGCAGGAGCAGATCGACCGCTTCATCCATGAGGTAAATAATGGCTCGGGATCCCCAGCCGGATCTGAAAGCGAAGTGGCTGACAGTGGTGCGGGTCGTGGTGGATGCGCCGCCACGGAGTGCGCGGCGGGCGTGGACGCGCGCCCGCCGCCTTGCAGAGTTCCAGGCTCGTCGCCCTCACGCGCATGGCTGCCGAGGCCTTCGGAGAGAAGGCGGTCAGCGATGATGGTCTAAGCTGGGCCAGCAAGAGAGTCTAGACGGCCGCCGAGCTGCAGAGCTGGATGGGCTTACCCCTGTACGCGTGTATGCGGCACCGCTCAGGGGGCAATGGGTCCCGCCAGCTCTCTGGGCGTAGGTGGAGGAGGAGGAGGAGGAGGAGGAGGAGGAGGAGGAGGCGGAGCTGACGGAAAATGATCCCCGCGAGTGACCCGACCATGTGCAGTTGTGGGTGCCGCAGTTGTGAGCATGGTCTGCGGTGGTTTTCCCCATGGGGCCACGAAACGCGCGAGGGGCATGCCGAAATGGGAAGGACGTGACGCTCACATGCGGACCCTCCTTTTCGGGCCTTCGGTGGAGCTCCCTACGGGGCCACGAAGCGTGTGAGGGGTGTGCTGAAATGAGCGTGACGCCCACATGCGACCGCTCTCTTTGGGGCCTTCGGTGGAGCTCCCTATGGGGCCACGAAGCTCGTTGTGCGTGTGTGCGTGTGCCGAAACGGGCGTAACGCCCACATGCAAAGGCTCCCACTGGGACCTTCGGTGGAGCTCCCCATGGGGCCACGAAGCGCGCGAGGGGTGTGCCGAAATAGGGGGGACGCCCACATTCGAACCCTTCCTTTCGGGCCTTCGGTGGAGCGTTCTGTGGGGCCACGAAGCGCGTGAGGAGTGTGCCGAAACGGGCGTGACGCCCACATGCGAACGCTCCTTTTGTGGCCGTCGGTGGGGCTCCATATGGGGCCATGAAGCGGGCGGGGGGGGGGGGGCCGAAACGGGCGTAACGCCCACATGCGAACGCTCTCTTTGGGGCCTTCGGTGGAGCTCCTTTTGTGGTTTCGGGCCACGATGCGCGTGATGGGTGTGCCGAAACGGGCGTGCCGCCCACATGCGAACGTTCCCTCGGGGTCATTCGGTGGAGCGTGGGGCCACGACGCTCATGGGGGTGTGCCGATTTGGGCGTGACACCCACATGCGAACGCTCCCATGGGGCCACGAAGCGCGTGAGGGGTGCACCGAAACGGGCGGGACGCCCACGTGCGAACCCTCCCTTTCGGGCCTTCTGTGGAGCTCCCTATGGGGCCACAACACGCGTGAGGGGTGTGCCGAACTGGTTGACACGCGGAGAACAGAGACAGGGATCGGAAGAGGGAGGGGGAGGAGGAGATGAGAGAGGAGAGAGAGCAGGACGCGGGGAACTGTCTCTTCAAAGCGGGGGCCCAACACCATAGAATGCTGGGAAAAATTGGCGTTGAGCCCCAGATTGCGAGGCAGGAGCTTCGATCAAGAGCCATCCTTGCTGCAAGGCGGAGGCGAGGACTTGCACCAGCTGTGCCCCCAACGTGCCGTCTTCCAGAGGCAAGCCGTGCCCCTCCAGACGGTGGTCGGAGCAGCGATCCAGATTCCCCCCCCTGGCTGCGAGGCCTTGCCTGGAAGCAGGCGCGTCGGTGGGCCAACCCGTTGATGGAAACCACCAGCTGCAAGCCAACACCACATATCACCGAGTCCATCCTCTGCCCTGGACCTTCTTTGGCATGGCGGTCCAGGCGCGCACAGGACGGCCATCGCCGAATTAGGGTTTCGCGTGCACTCTGCATTGCTCTGCGGGTTTCCTTTGAATCGGTACGATCCAATTCCCTGGCAGCCACGCCATCGACCAGCTCGGGGCGCTTCGCCAAAACTGTTTGCCAACCAGCTAACCAGAGATTTCAATCCGCACGCGTCCGAGTGGATCCAGGAGTGCGATGCACGGATAGCGCACAGCCAAGACGCTGAATGAAGGACCACTTTGGGTCCAGGAGAGGCTCCGATTTCCGGGCCGCCCCTCAGATTCGTGCCATGGAGCCTCTTGGCGGCTCAGGCCCGCCGTGGCCAGAAGCGCCCCTCCGTTCCGTAGCATGCGCTCCTCATGACAGCACGATGGCTGCAGTCCTTGTGTGGGCCGGTGGTCCGATGTGGCCCTGGGCCGATGCTGCCTCGAGCATCAACGCCGCGGCGTGCCCCCCCCTTTCCAAGATGCCGTGTGAGCGAAGCCAAACATCGGGGTCGTCCGCGCCGACATTCGTGCGCAAGCTGCCAGCGCAAGGTCGCGCGTACGCACGCTCGTCTCCGATGTAGCGTGCCGCGGTGGGCCCGTGTAAGCCACCGCGCAAGATCGCTATGCCATCTCGCGCAAGACCCCATTATTTTCGTCGCTCATACCATCTTGTGGTGTAAACCGACTGGATGATTCGGTGGCCAATTTGGGGACCTCTGTGTACCGGTGGTTTAATTCCGTCTTCAGCGTCGAGCAGCGTTTTGGTAATCAATGAGATAGCGCCGATTTAGCGTAGAGGGGCGTCGGCTAGCGTCGATGAGTGTCGATTTCGCGTCGATCACCGTCGATTCGCGCCGACTGGCGTCGAGTACCCTCGGCCAGCAAGATTGCAGAAGAGGCTCGTAGGAGTTGCCCACGAGGGATTAGAATGTGACGGAAGCCCTTGCCTGCTGGACGGGAGAGCATGGGGAAATGGATCGCGGGAAGAGCACGATGCAGCCGCACTCAAAGAAACTTCTTCGTGCCCTGGGGATACGTTCGTCCCTACGGCTACGGCTACGGCTCCGCACTCGTGGCGCCATGAAGGCGCGGCGGAGGGGGCACCGAGGCGCTTGCTGAGGTACACGAGTGTGAAACGATGTGAACTGGTGCATGGGAGGAAGAGGAGAAGGAGGAGGTGGAGGGGAGGACCGGCAGTATCACTGCGGGAGGGGTGGGAGGGGAGGGGATACGTTCGTCCCAGCAAGCCGAGCTGCATCCCCGAGCACGTCGGACTCCTTCGGGCCATGCGTATAGGATCTGGTGTTTGTCCACTTGTCCCAGACCAGCGCAGGAGGCGGGGCCAGCTGTGGCCACTTCAGCCTTCAGTCGGAGGAGGCCTTTGTCCCGTCCCGCCCAAATCCGCCAAAGAAACTTTGCAGGGCGCGTTATGCGGGGACGATAAATCGAAGGGCAGCGAGGGCTGCCGAAAAGAGGCCCTTTAGGGCCCCTAAGGGACCCTTTCGGGCCCAGAAGGGGGCCTTTCGGGTCCGAGAAGGGCACCTTTCTTCCCTCGCCACCTATCGCCCCTAACTAATTCGCGCCCGAAAACCGTCCCTGGACCCCTCCTGGAGTCATCCTGTTTCGTTTTTCGACGCGGGTCCAGCCTGGGCGGCGAGAAGCCTCCAGGAGCCCTAAAAAGAGCGAGCCACGACGGGGAGGGCTGGCGTTGTCTCGACTGGCCCTCCTCCGATTCAGGTTCCTGAGCATGGTGGGCTGCGCCCACGTGGCCAAGCTGCTGACCTCGGCCGCAGGGGGCAAGAGAGCCTTCAAGTACTCGGAGGATGAGGTCGGCGAAGGGTGCGGGAAGGCGACGTGCATCGGATGGTGATGCGAAGGAGAAGTTGCACGGCAAAGGGAGGGGCAACAAGTCGAGGATTCTGGGAGAGAGGGGCGATATTGGACATTTTGCATGTTGGAAGCGGCGTGAGGTGCGTTTGCAGGGGGTGGGTGGGCACTCAAGCTCTAGAGGCAGAGAGAGTTCGGAGCTCTTTGGGGGCGCCGGTTCGGCCAGGGCGGCCACTGGCGTCTTTGAGTCCTTGGGTGGCCCAGGGGGCCGGGGCCACCGGCTTGCCAGGTCCAGGCTGCGCAGGAGCTTCACTGCCCCAGAAAAGGTCGGCTCTGTATGTTCCGATCCCAGGGCAGATATTGGCGTCTGCCCGGGCTACGAACGAATGGTCCTCAGGGCAGACTGCATACGGTGATGATGTCCTGGATTGTTCGAGGGTTCCAGGGAGGGCAACGTGGAAGGTTGGGAGGAGGAATGAGCAAAACGATGGGGAAAAACATGAGGAGGATGAGGAAGGGGAATAGAGGAGGAGAGGGAATAATAAATGAATGAGGAACGAAGGAGGTCCAGGGTGCGGAGGGATATAAGCCTGGGATGGCCAACCGCGCTCTTCCGTGCTTGTGCTGCCAACGAAATGACAGCGAAATTCTTCCAGTCAAGGCGTTCCCTGGGTCATGTGAGTGTTAAGTTGATGCCTTCCGGACCATGGAGCCCCTCCTGAATCATTGACTATGTTTTTCATGTCGCCCTCTGGGAAGTATCTTCAATATTTCGCTGGGCCACTTGCGCTCTGCGTTGGGCTCCTCTTGGGCCCGCGCTGGGCTTCCTCAGGACCCTCTTGGGCCACCTTTGGGCTGCCGAAAGGGTTCCGAGGCCCTTCCTCAAGAAGCGGAGGCGAGAAGCAGCGGCACCACAGAACGGACCTGGCACCTGATCCGAACAGCTGGCCTCTCGGGATCCTCCTCGGGAAACTCCAGAGCCATCTGTTGGCCATCGTTGAGATGACACCAGGGACAACGCCCCAACCAGCAGATGTTCTGACATGTTCGAAAGTACTCCGAGCCTGCCCGTCGTGGCATGCCATTGAGCTTCAAACGAGACACACACACACGTGTATGCATATATTCAACTTAGGCATGTGTATCACGATGGATCTACATATATATGTATATATACTTATCTAACTATATATATATATATATATATATGTATGTGTGTGCACGAAGGCGCGCACGGTGAATCACCGCCGCCCCCTGCCTTTTGGAATCGCCCATGTGGCCGAGCGTTGTGGCAAGAGCTCTCCCGAGCTGTCGGACTATGTGTTCCCCCAGCCGTGGAAGCCCTTCGGGGAACACTTGGGGGAAGATGAGGGGGATTGTCTTTTCTCTGCGAGCCGCTCGGCAGGACCAAGCGGGCAACAGTCAGCCCAGCGCACAGGGCGCCCCGCCGGACCGCGGGGCACTCACAGCGCGAGACGGGCCCTTCTGAGTGGGCAGCACGGGGATGGCAAGCCCGCTCCCCTGCCCCACTCTGTCAGGCCAGAAACGGCCGCAGCCCAAACACACGGACAAGCTTGACAGGACGGGCAAGGGCCAGACCACCGCCAAACCCACGCCACCCACCCCAAGGGCCCACCACGACACGACGACGAACGACAGCGACGGCGACGGCGGAAGGGGGGGAGAAGACGAGCCCCTTGGCCACGACTCGCACGGGTGACACCTGGCTGGGGGGCCAGGCTCCCGTGGGAGGCTGCGCGGCTAGGGAGCCTTGGGAAGGGGACCCCGCTTTGGGGGCCGTCCCAGCGCGGGGGCTTTTACCCCGAAGGCCCGACGGTCCCCGCCTCCGCCAGGGAGCGAGGATGAGGAGGAGGAGAAGGAGGAGGAACAGGAGGAGGAACAGGAGGAAAAGAAGAAGGAGAAGCCATCTTGGGAGCCTCTGTGGGCATTCTTGGGGCCTCCTGGGGGCTTCCTGGGAGCCTCTTGGAGGCATCTTGGGAGCCTCCTTGGGCCTCGCCTTTGGGGGGCTTCTCGGGGGCCTCGTTGGCAATCTTAGGGCATCCCTGGCCCGTCTTACCCCGTCGGAAGCAGTCTTTGGGACCTCTCTGGGCCAACTTGGGGCCTTCTTGGGGCGCTCCAGGGCCGTCTTGGAAGACATCGTGGGCGTCTTAGAGTCTTAGAGGCCTCTTGGGCCGTCTTGGGGACCTCTTGGGCAGTTAGTTCTGAAGCCATTTTGGAGGCCTATTGGGCGATCGTAGGGCGATCTTCGGAGGCTCTTGGACCATCCTCAGGCTGGCGGCCTGCGCAGGGGGGTGGGAGGTATGTTGTGTTGCGCGCTCTCTCTCTCTCTCTCTCTCGGATCACGTTTCATTTCATGAGTTTGCAATTGCAGGTTGGTTCGTGGGGTGCTCCCGCTTCGCCTGGCGACTCTGTGAATCGCACGGCGTCTGAGGACGTGCAGCGTGAGGATCGCTTGCTTGTGGAGAAAAATCATTGTGTACCAGCAGTCGGTTCACTCTTTGTTCCCCGATTGGTCCGCAATCGATTCACATTCTAACGCCAGGGCATCAGGGCATGACGGCGCCGCGACACCGTGACGCCGAGTAGGAACAGGAGTAGGACCAACAGGCTCCGTCAGCCCGACGGGCCATCGTTGTCGCCCGCAGCTGCGCACGCAGCTCACGCACGACGCGAAGCTACTTTTTTGTACCCTCAACCTCCGACGAAGAAACGGGGATAATTCGATGGGCTAGCTTCTCTGGTGTTAACCCTGTCAACTTCATTGTCCTTCAAGGATGTCCAGCCTGGGCCGGCATATTTCGGTTGCGCACGTTCCTTTCGCACCCCGAGATATTACCAGCTCTGTCGTTTACATGTTGGTTGGTTCTTCTGCTTGAGCGCCTCCAATTTCTCCACAGGCTCGAGTTCCACGCTCCAACCCACAGGACATCACCAATCCATTGCCTCGAGCTCGACAGCCCTCACCACCAAAGCAGGAATTGCGATGCTTTAGCGCAGGGACAGGGGAGCACCGCAGTGTCGTTGAGCGCTGGCGGAATCCCACATCTTGTGCAGCCCTCTGATTCTAGGGAACTGATGTGCCCTGCACTGTGTCTGTTTACCGTCTCGCCCGCAAGGTCGGGCCGTTGATCGCAGGCGCCAAGCTCTGGGCGCACGACAACAGGCGGGAGCGCGCGCCATTTCCATTATTCCCGTAGTGATCCCCCCTCGTGTGGTGCTCGCTGGTCAAATGCTGGTCTCAGTCGGGATCCGATTTGACGGCGCCTCTTTGGAACGTAGGACCCTTCATTTCTGGTGGGGCCGATTTCCACGGTTTCTTGATTTGTTTCCCTGATCCATGTGCCAGGCCTTACGTATTCCAAATATTTGCATTCGTACCGCACTCCTTTGCAATGAGTAAACGTTGATTGTTTTAGACAGGCAGTTCGCGTCAATGCGCCGTCTTATTTGCCTAAAGTTGTCCACTTGTTTCAGAGCGGGCCATGAAGTGGCCTGTGGGATGATCTCGCCATAAGAATCCTGCGATACGTACATTGGCTCGTTCTTGCTCGATCCGTTTGCGTTCTTCTTCGTGAGGCCTCCCCGATGTTCTTTGGGAGCGGGAGGCCTCCAGCAATCCCACTGCAAGCACAGCAGATCTTGCGTGAAGCGCGCCATGCATGCTTCAGAATATCAACACCGATTGTTCGGTGTGCTTGTTGAGTCTGCGTCCAAGCACCACGTGAGGTCGTGACTGTACAACGGCTTGCCTTGATCGCAAACGCGCACATGCTCCGTTCATCGGGTTCTTGTTGGATCATTTCGCCTCTGGAGTCATATCGAGGTGCACACCGAGCATCGGAGCGCACGTATGGATTGCCAGAGCGCGGCGGTAGAAACATCATCAGTTTTACTGGAGGCAGTTGTTAGGCACGCGTGGCATGGTGTAAGCAAGGCCTCGGGTATGCCTGTCTGCACCTTCCATTGTAAACGCCGGGGCGACCAGTACGCGGCCACTGCCAGAGCTTATGACCAAGCCTTGCGACTCGGAGTAGCAGGGGCAGCCAAGACGAGCCAGCGAAGCGCCCGGCCAAGGAGAGCGGGCTATTTCTCAGAGCAGAGCTCGGAGAAGCGTGCTGCCACTGACTACTGCCAGACCCTTCGCAACTACATCAAGTTGGACGTATGTCAGGGCCTCAGGGGCTGCCCTTCCTTCGTTGCCGCGGCTTACCCCCCTCCAGGACTCGATGCTTGCCAGGCTCACGCCGCGCTCGCTTGCTGTCGTCATGTTTCCCAGGACTTCGAGGAGACGGAGCATGAGGGAGTGCGAATCGACTGGCTGATCCAGACGATCCAGCGGCTGGCTGATCACACGGAAGGTGGAGCGACTGGCTTCCAGCAAAACGCGAAGTCCAAGGAGACTGTATCTTTGGTTTGACCCCTCGCCGAGCATGATTTCCGTTTCTCTCGGCCGTCCTGACAAAGCCGCTTCGCCCAGTGCCAGGCCGGCACCAGCAGAGACACCCAGGAACGCGCCAGGGAGCGGCCCTCGAGCTTGGTAAGGCTTCGGGCTGCGCACAGAGCCCCCCCCAGGGTAGTCCCACCTGGATCCAACAGGCCCCCCGAGTAGTCCCAGATGGCCTCAACAGGCCCCCAATTAGTCCGAGGCGGTCTCAACACCCTGGCGCCGCCTCCAGCGGCGCTCCTGGGGCGCTCCGCGCCCCAGGGTTGCGATGTTGGGACCGCGCAGGGCTACTCAGGCGGCCTGTTGAGGCCAGCTGTGACTACTTTGGGGGCTTTTTGAGGCCAGCTGGTGCCTGGGGTCGGGCGGCGGAATCTATGCATATCTACTGCCACTTGGCCGGGCCCTTCCTGGCCAAGCCAGGAGTGCGTGGCGTATGCACCGCTGCTGGGTTCAGGATGGGCCTGGCCAGGAAGCAGTGGATCGGAGGTTGGGGGTGAGTTTGAAGTGGAACGACCCCCCACCACCGGGAAATTGGTTTCAGTTTCGTGTTTGCGTCGTGCGTGCGGGCGAGGCAAAGCTGCGTGGGCGGGCGAGAGGACTGAATCCGCCGCGGCTCGGGTGAAACTGAGCTCAATGACTCAACGCCCCCTTGTTGGCCGTCGGTGTCTCGGAGGCGTTCCGTGGTGTCCCGTGGTGTCCCGTGGTGTCCCGCGGTGTCCCGCGGTGTCCAGCGGTGTCCAGTGGTGTCCAGTGGTGTCCCGTGGTGCGGTGTCCCGTGGTGTCCCGTGGTGTCCGGTGGTGTCCCGTGTCGCCGATTGCAAGATCGATAGTGAGATCGATCGAGATCGATAGACAAATCGATCGTGAGATCGACAGTGAGGTCGACTGTGAGATCGATAGATCGTGAAATCGATAGGCACAGGGAAATCGATTGTGAGATCGATAGGTAGATAGTGAGATCGATAGATAGATGGCCAGACAGATTTCGGCCGATCCCGATCCGACCCCCATCGCACACTGACGGCTGAATTCCACCCCCGACAACCCCCTCACCACCCGCAGGGTGGTCGTATAGGATAGGTAAGTCGGTATAGATTTCGTCTCGCCCTGTGGGGGCGCTGTCTGGCGGACACTCCTCTGCCGGCCCCCCGCGCGGGCGCTCTGGCCACACCGCGGGAGCCGCGAGCCCTCTCGGTGAGCCCGGAGGCCCTGGCCTGCAGCTTCCTCCCCGGCCGGGAGCGGCGGCGGGGCGTGGCCCGGGGGCGGCCACGGGGGGGGGAACCTACGGCGGGCTGGATGCGGTGGAGGGAGAAGCGTTGCAACAGGGGCGCCCGAACTAGAAAGAGTCAACTTCCCCCTCCGCCCCCCCCCCGGGGCGGCGGGGGCTCCTGCGAAGTGTATCCTGAACGTTTGTTGCAAGGTTTTTCTTTCGACGGCATCATGACCAGGGCCATGACACTTCTCCGTCGTTCACTGCCCCTCTTTCTGATTCAATGCGTCCCTTGGCACCCCCCTGGGCCGCGCACGTGCCTCGAGAAATGATTTCTGTTACGAGACCCTCTCTTGGACGACCCCGAGTGGTGGGCGCGCACGACGTGGCGAGTCTTCGCAGCGGGGGGGGGGGGCTTTTGACCCCGGCCTCTGGGCCCAGAAGTGGCCAAGAAGGCCCGAAGGGCTGGCGACCAGCACGAAGCTGCCAGGCCTCTGAGGCAGAACGCACAGCGTTGCATAGTGCCGTACAGCGCTGCATGCATGGGCCGTACAGCGCTGCATAGTGCAGCATCGGCTTTCACCCCGCTCGATTGGGATTGTGGATCACGATCGCTTCCCACTTGGCTTGTGATGCGGACGGCACGCGCGCGCGAGCTAACTCCGCGTTGTTACTGTTTGCTTCGAGGGAAACGAAGAACAAGCATCCAGCCGATGCTGTGCATCGCGCCACTGCCGGGAGAGGTCGAGGATCGTGCCGGGCGAAAATCAGAGAAGGGCGAGGTGAGGCAACAGTGGTTACTGTAGTTGGCCTTCTGGGGGCCCCCATCGTAGCTACGGCTGGACGTAGTTCGGAAACCTAGGTTCGTTTGGACCCCAGGAGGGGTCTGGGGACCGGTTCTTGCTCCGAGAAAGTGTGGGGGGAATTGGGAAGGGGTTTGCGGAAGCTGCTGCATACAGCTGGCGTCGGCCCCGCCGCCGGGCGCATTCCTGGATACGCGGCCGCCTCCAGCGCTGGGAGGCGCCAGGAGAACGGACTGCGTGCAGCTGGCTCGCTAAACGCCCCTCTCACCGCCCCCTTCCGTTGTGTCAGCCCCGGAGGGAGCGTAGGGCAGGTCTCACGCCCCCGCCAGGATGGGGCGAGGATGGGCCCAAGACCCAGTCGTAAAACAACGAGTTCTGGGGCGAGCGTTCGAGGCATGCACATGAGATGGGAAGTGTCACGCAATTCTACGGCAAGGGTGGTCACTGGATCTCGAAGCAGACGGTGCAACAAGGCTTGGCCTTTGCTTGGCGGCTGCTCTTCTGGTGGCAGCCCGTTCTCCGGCCAGAGAAGGTCCCTCCCGGCCCTGTCCGGGGAGTTTCATCCAAGGCCTGAGCACCCGCTCTGGGGAGATCCATCCAAGCCATAACCACCCGCTTCCCGAGGCTTGGAGGGCGACAGCATGTGGAAGTTCTTCCAGGCCCCAAGCGAGAATAGGGGCGGTGAGAAGTCATTGGCCTAGGGGGTGATTCGCGCGTACCAGCAACTGAGAGCAACGGGGTTATGTTCGAAAGATGAGGCTATCGACATGGGGTGCGCCCAAGTCATTATGTTGTAGATGTGTCAGTAGCGTGGCAATCAACTGCAATGATTGAGCATGGTTGGGCACACATTTGCTACCAAAAGCGTTAACCAATTGCGTTGAACAAGCATCCCTAGATGAATTGGAGAACGCATTGGTTCGGAATGCATCGATATTTACAGCGTTGTTGGATCAGCATGCTTTCAATTGCGTTGACCTGGAATGTTGAAACACGAACACCTGACCACTGCTTCTAGCACGTAGGCTCGTAATCAGTGAACGACGCCATGATGTGTGTTTTGGCATCTCGCGCAAAAGTGTTGAACGTCTATTTGTAGGCCGTGAGGCCACGATCCGAGTGTGAGGTGTCTCAGACCCGCAGAACTTCGAGAACATCCCACTCGAAACGGTAATTCCGATATTCGTGGCGGCATAGGACGTCGCTTTTGAGGTATCATTATTCGGAGGGGCGCCTATCATCGTATCCACATCTGTATATATGTGTGTGTATATAAGCATACTAATGTGTGTGTATAGATGTATGCACATATTTGAACAGACGGATAGAAGCCCACGAATAGGTATACATCGTTTTTTCTACGCTGTTGTAGAACAGCTAGTTCTAACGTGTTTCCAACTCTCTTGAATCTTGTACCCGATATAACGATTATGGTAATCTGACGAGTCATATCAGTGAGATAGGCGTCGCCCCAACAATCCAGGAGGCACGCTGGGATAACCCGGGGGGACCGCAGCGCAGCTGGGCGTGGAAGCAAAATGACAGTACAACCGTCCTACGGAAGCAGGATATCCCACAGCTTCGCCTCGCCCGCACACGAACTCATATTGAAGTCGCTTTCCTGGGCTGACCGCCCATCCGTTAGTGTTGCTTCTCTTTCTTATCAACGCGGTGCTCTTCCATATTATCGTGCGTAATATTTTCTCGCCGTTTCCCTCTTCTCCTCCCATCTGCTCACCCCTCCTCCGTTCTCTCACATCCGCTGTCGTCAGCCAGGGGTGGGTTACTGAATCAATAGTGCAGAGGGATGCTGAACAGTATTGAAGCAATGCTTCCAGAGTTGCATCGTCATGGTGGGGGGAGGGAGTATGATTGGTAACATGTGACAGCTGATGGTGGCAGGCAATAGCCATAGCGGACATTACAGGTGCGAGAAGGAAAGATGTTGTGTTCGACCAATCTTCTCTTGTGAATCTGCAGGCCCTTGAAGAAGAATCTGGATACATGGCATCCTGTTTTTCGAGGCTTGCTCCGAAAGGCAGTTCGCTACGCAAGGCGATCAGCGAGGACATTTCGCCCTAGTGTTTTCGACGCAGTAGGGATGCATCAGAGAAGCAGAGATGCACGAAGACGCCTTGAAGGCATCGTGGAGCTTACAAAGGCAATCCTCACTCCTGGTCAAACATGCGTCCGGTTTTCTTGGAAGCCGCGCAATGGAGCTTGAGCCTTTCCCCGAGCAGTGATGCTTTTGGGGCTTCTTACTTCGTCCTGACGAACTGGCAGATAAGAGCTTCTTGTTATGTCTTGCCACTCGTTGTTGCATGTGCTGTGTTGATATAAGAGAGCTGCGCTCTAACTTGGCCTTGACCGACCGACTCGGCCAACGTGGCCCGCTGCAGCCGTTGCCTATAAGAAAACATGTAAGAAGCCTCAGAATAGTAAAGGCCCCCCTTCCGTCGGCTCCTGGGTCGGGGAGCAGTGCTTCCGGCAGCGAAAGATTTATTTCTCTTCCCCCCGGGGATTGGCGTCATCGTCGGTCGTCGGCCGTCGGTCGTCGTCGTTCGTCGTCGTCGGTTCGCCGTCGCGCTATTCTTCGTCCGACGTCGTCGGCGATTTTGGGCCGCCGAAGCATTTTCAGTTCTTCGCCCCAAAGGAGTTTTATGCTCCCAGATCTTAGATTATAGTGCGCTGGGAGCTTTGGTGGACCGTCGTCCCGCCCACAGGATCCTGCACAAAGCGCCCCGTGTTTTGCCCAAAAGTTTTGTCTGCCAAAGGGTCCTGCCTGGAGCCGGCCAAATAGGGGTGCCAGAGTGCCCCGCCCACAAAGTCGATTGTTCTGCTTGAGATTGTGGGTGGCATGGGGTCCTCGCCGTGTAGTCTTCTATTGAGTCCCGCCCATGGGCTCGCCATGTTCTCTAATCGAATGCCCGATGCAAAAACGGACTCTACCACCCTCCCGCGCCCGCACTTGACAGCCCACCTTTTCGCATTGTAAAGTGCATGCGATTTTACCTCATCGCCCATTTTCAATACTACACCATCCCAGCCAAAACGGCATTGACAACAAATGAGAGAAGGCGCGCTTGTGCGTTTCAAGAGATTATGTTGAAATAGTGCCTTGCGAAAATTCAAAAAAAGACCATGCCCGAGCACACGTCGAAATCAAACCAAAAACCGTAGTTTCGCACGCACTTGAGCGTACGCATTAAATGCTCATATGGTTTACGGCTAAAGCTTGGCAGATTGTCTGCCAGCGCGCATTTGCTGAAATCAGGTGAAATCAATACTGTCTTAGCAATATCGTGCAGAATCCGTGTTCTCATATCACTACGCCGTGCTCCTAATGGACGAATCCGTATTAATCAGTGTGGGCCACATGCGCGCGCCGTGACGCGCGCATGTCGAATTGCTTCCAGAACCACTTGTTGCCTAACCATTTCCAGATAGAGTGTTTCAACAATACGCGAAACAACCATCATCATGTCAACAAAACGTTTGTCTGATCTCTTGAATTTCTGCGCGCTCGCTCTCCCCCATCACCAACATCGCATCAACGCCGTCACGGGCGTCTTCTATTTCCGCCATTGCCGCCTTCGTCGTCACAGCCACCGTCACCACTGGCACATTGACATCATCGTCATCGTCGTCACCAGCATCGGCGCCATGATTGGCCTTGCTGACGTCATCGCCATCATCGCGATTGTCATCATCATTGCCGCCGTTTCCAACGTCATCCTGACATCGCGCCCGCACCAGTTTCCGACCAGCACGAAAAAGGCCAGTGCTCCATCGCGGCTTTTGAGACGCGTTGGGAAGTTCCCATCGGTAAGCGCCACCGCGGCCGCATCAGTTGTGCCAAACCAGTTGGCCGATTTGCGCGTGAGCATGCACGCGCCAGTGCGGCCGTAGAGAGGCGCTAGCAACTTTCGATCGGGAACCGCAATCGCGGCCGAATGAGTGTTGTCAAAGAAGTTGCGGGCGGGACGGTGGGATGTTTGCGCGGGCGTTGGAGCTGACAATTCATGAGTGGCGAAGTTCTTGGTCCACGTAGATTTCAGCATATAGAGCCACATCGTTCAACCCATCCCCCGTCCTCACTGGGCCATGGTTTTCAGCCCCACCAGCCCACCCTCCTAGGCGGGGATACGCCCCGCGAAACCAGAGGCACATGCACATATGCCCACCCAGATGGGTAAGGCGGCCAACGGTGCCAATGCCACGCCAGTGGGGACGGGGATCGGTTACACTATGCTCAATATGTTGTAACCTCGCTGCCCTTCGACTGTCTGGCGCGAGTAGGGGCAATTGCATTCCTTTTCGGCGTCGAGGGCGCCCCGTGCACTGGCTGGGTTTGCCGAGGTTTCCCCTGGTGGGCGGCCGTGGGCGCCTTGTGGGCGCCTTGTGTGTTGGCTGGGCGTGCCGAGCTTTCAGCTGAAAATTTGCCGTGGGCGCCCCGCGGGTACGCCGTGCGTTGGCTGAGTGTGCCGTGGTCTCGCCGCGTGGGCGCCCCGTGGGCTCCCCGTGCCGCTTGCATTCCACAGCTTGCAGTATCGGTGGCGCGCCCAGGGGGGACGGCAGAGGGGGCGGGCCTTCCCATCAGGCCCAGAAAGCTTCTAGCCTTCTGAGGAGGTGCCGAAGCTTCTTCCGAAGGCACAGGGTCTCTCAGAAGGCTGGATGGCTGATGAGAAGCCCCGGCGCCTCCTGTGAAGGTCCGCCCCATCTCACCTCCCCCCTCGGCGCGCCGCCGACATGACGCAGTAGCTTACACCACCCTGCTTACACTAGACAGTTTATACCGCGTAGCGTGCACCCCGTATCGTTCACCGCATAGCTCATATCCATTGCATCACTCGCACCACACATACATTGAATCGCGTTGCTTGCAGCACGCGTAGCTTGCACCACATAGATTACACCGCCTAACTTGCACACCCACGGTGCAATAACTCGTTGGTTGGGGTCCACGCTGGCAAACATGTCTAGTTTCCCAGTGTGAACCCCACAAGCTGTGAGTTCTCGCAATCTGGATGTGTAAACAATGCTGTGCCCGGTCTGTGGTGCAAGGAATGCGATACAAGGAATATGTGGTGCAACTTGTGTAGTGCACGTTATGCGGTTCAACCCATGCTGTGAAAAGATATTTGATACAAGCCATGTGGTGCCATCCATGTGGTGCAAGCTGCGAGGTGCAAGACAAGCAACAACCCGTTACAAGCAATGCGCCAGCTAGAGCGCGAGGCGTTCGCGAAGCGCCACGGGCGAACTCTCAGAAATGCCAGCCAGCGCACGAGGCGGCGACGAGGCTGAGACGGGCGCCCTCCATTCGGAAAACACGGACATGCTAGCCAGCTCACACGAGACGGCGACGAGGCGGCGCCGGGCACTCGTCGCACGTAAATTTCGAAGTGCAACAACATTGTGCAGAACCCTGAGTAAGAATTGTTGTTGTGCAAGCATTGTGTGTGGGCATCCGTGTATGTGTATGCGTATGCACGTAAGGTATTATGCATGCATACATGCATGTATGCATGTATGTATGCATGGATGCAGGCATGTATGTATGCATGCATGTATGTATGGATGGATGGATGGATGGATGGATGGATGGATGCGTGTGTGAACACATAAATATATGTATGTGCTCGCCCCCCAGATCATACATCTCACCTTGAAGCGGGCCCATCTATGGGTTTTTGTTGTGTCCTCGCCCAGTGGCAAAAAAAAGAGCAGAAACAGTATATGGGAAAGCCTCACACTCGGAATATGTCAGAAAACGCAACGATGGGATTCCTTGGGAAAGCCTCAGCAAGGAATCGTTTGGAAAGCACTACTGGGGGTCCCGATTGGGAATCATTGCGCCAGGGTTCCTTTGGACAACCCCCACAAAGTGTTTCGATGGGAAAGCCTCACAAAAGGAACCCTTTGGAAAGCACGCCTGAGGGCTCCTATTGTTGAGCGTCACAAAAAGAACCCTTCGAAAACATCGCAACGGGATTCGAATGAAAGGCCCCACAAGCGGAATTAATTGCAGGCGGGCTCGCAAAGAGAGTCTTTCTGATGGCACTGAAGAACCAACCTAAACCCAAGGACAAGCATAAACAGATCAGACATCAAAGGCAGATCACCGCACGACAAAACAACCCTGGGGAAAACCAACAAACAACGATTCCAGTACGTACTCCACCTCCTTTTCCTCCTCTTTCTCCTCCTCATCCTCCTCATCCTCCTCATCTTCATCCCCCTCTCCCCCTCCTCCTCCTTCTCGTCCTCCTCCTCCTCCTCCTCCTCCTCCTCCTCTTTCTCGCCCGCCACCCCTCACCCTTCACTCCTCATCCTCCTCCTCCTCCTCCTCCTCCTCCTCCTCCTCCGCCTCCTCCCCATCCGTCCGTCTCCCCTCCTGCCTCATGGTTGGGGAGCAGGAGGAGGAGGAGGAGGAGGAGGAGGAGGAGGAGGAGGAGGAGGAGGAGGAGGAGGAGGAGAAGGTTGGGGGGGGGTAGGAGGAGGCGGAACGGAGGAGGAGGAGTGGATTGGAGGAGGATTGGAGAGGAGGAGGGGGGAGGAGAAGGAGTGAAGAGTGAACGGCGGTGCGTGATCAGGAGGAGCAGGAGAAGGAGGAGGAGGAGGAGGAAGAGGAGGAGGAGGAGGATGAGGAGGAGGAGGAGGAGCAGGAGGACGCGCAGGAGGAGGAGGAGACGGAGAAAACGGAGGAACCCTCTTCCATTCTTCAGGAAGAAGACCGCTCATCCATTTCACCCCTCTTCCACTCCACTTCCCCGCTGCACTCCTCAATTCCACTCTATTCCGCTCCCTTTTCCTCCCACCCGTCCGCCTCCTTCTCTTGTTCCCACCCATGGGGCATGACAAGGAGGGGAGACGGAAGGAGGAGGAGGAGGAGGAGGAGGAGGAGGAGGAGGAGGAGTGAATGGGGAGGGATGAGGGGTGGGGGGGGGCAAGGATGAGGAGGAGGAGACGGTTGAAGAGGGTTTCGGGACGGCCCAGGAATGAGGAATGCCGCCACACGGTCCAATGAGCACCAAAAGAGCCCCACAGTCGTCTTGCACAGGTTGTCTAGAGCTCAGACCGCTTCAATTCGGCGTCGCACCGCCCCCACCGCCCCGCCCCCCCGCACCCCCACACCTCCACACCAACCGCCACAACCACCAGCGTGACACCACCCCCCGTCCAGTGCTCCTTCCCAACCACTTTATACACCAACCACCACCACCACCAGCGCGACACCGCCCTCCATCCAGTACCCTGTCCACCCCGCTCCCCTCCGCCCCAACCACTTTATGCACCAACCACCACCACCACCAGCGTGACACCGTCCCCCGTCCAGTGCCCTCTGCACCCCGCCCCCCGTCGCACCGACAATGTTATTTCGTCGCCGCATCGCCCCCG